CTAGCCTGCTCCCTAAAATATCACATATAAAGGGCCCCATTACCTTCAGTAGCTTAGGGCCTCATCAAACCTAAATCTGGCCCTGCATTGAATGATGGCTTAGCATTATGAGTACAAACTAAAGCAAGCCTAATATAGTTTAGGAGGCAGTAAACTGAAAGCAATGTCAATAAAGCCTAACGTCAGATATATAGTGTTTCTTTTTGTCATTTTTTCTCTTTCAGGAGTCATACAGCGTTGCACATCTGTGAAGTATCACTACACTTCATCTTCCCTGCCACGCAACTTGCCTGTTAATATTACCAACACTATTCGCCAGGATGAGTGGCATGCCCTCCGTGAGTATCCGAAGCACTCGCTGAACATAGTTCTTTTGTATCTTTGTTACCAGAATTCACCAAAGTTCAGGAGAATCAGATGTACCTCCTGGAACTGTACTGCTTCAGAATGCAGGTGGGGTAAATCACACGTTTGACTATTCCTGTTGAAAGCATCATGCACATGAAAGCTAGCATATCAAGGAGCCTTCTTCTTGACACATTAGCTTTCCATGTACATGCTCTTTTGATGCACAGGAGTAAACAAATACTTTCTGAGCCCACCCAAGACCACCATGCCTTGTATTCATTTATTTTAGCCTTGAATTTTACCGGCTATTGGCTCCAATAGGAGGGCTTTTTTGAAGCCTAAATGCAGTGTTTTGTAGAGGGTCACAGCTGCTGAAAACACTTCCCACACTGCAGTTAGGCTTGGAAAAAGCCTCCTAAAATAGGATCCTTTTTTCATGCAAAACCACAGCTGGTGGCAGGAAGGTTACATTGAGAGAATGAGTGTGTTTGTGTGTGTGTCAGAGAGAGGGGGAGGGAGGGAGGGAGGGGGGAGGGAGGGAGGGAGGGAGGGAGAGAGAGAGAGAGAGAGAGAGAGAGAGAGAGAGAGAGAGAGAGAGAACTGAATGGAAGAACAAACGGTGTTACCCACTACCAACTCTAACCCAGTTTATGCAATCAAAAACATGGTTAAGGTATTCTTGGAGTGGTGGTTTAGCTCGGAGGTTATTCTGACCTCTGAGCTACTCAGTTATGGTGGCCAGTGAGACAACCTTAATTCTGTATAGCTTTGTTCAGGGCTTTCCTACATTTGTGCTCCAAACTGGAACCCCCTTAGAATGCTAAATACTGCCACTCAACAGCTGGTTCCCCATATAGCTTTCCTTTCTGGTGGTATCATACCTTGTACTTTAATTACTACTTTCCTTTCTTCGCTGCCATTCCTGCTCCACCAACCCACTAGCCATGTGCTAATGAGTATCTAACCCTTTCCTCTTCATTGCCTAATTTCATGGATACTTTTCTAGACGTCTTTGAGGACACATGTCAATAGCAACCTAGCTTGCTCCTGTAACAGCACCACATCAGTGGTCTGTGTAACCCAGGAGCACATCATGCTTCTGATTGCCTCTTTATGTGGTTTCTTGTAAAGAGCCATAAAAGCACAGTGTAAACCACTTGTAATAAATATAGAAGGCAAATTTCCACAATCTGGCTCATTTTCCAAAGTGATTATGTTCTTGACTTGGGGTTTCTTACGGAAAGACGTGATATTTTTAGGAAGCGCTGAGACTTTGCCTTCTTAAATGCTTTATAAGATTTCACAAGATGGAAGCACTCATATTCATGGATCACTGGTGCAAATGTGAGCCTCCGCCTCTGATTTCCTCTGCGGTCTCCAAATTACTCTTCACAGACTCTCTTTTCTCTCCTTCTTTCTCCATCTTCTTTCTTCCTTGCACACCTCCTCAGATCTGCGGAGAATGACAGCTGGCTTTATTGGTATGGCAGTTTCCATCATTCTCTTTGGGTGGATCATTGGTATGCTGGGCTGCTGTAAACAGCATGAGCTCATGCAATATGTAGCTGGACTGCTCTTCCTTATGGGAGGTGAGAGTTCTTTTTTCCTCTTAGGCTGAGAGCCATTTTCTGAAGAAATGCATTTGGTATTGTGCCCTATATGTAATGAATTAAAGCCTGGGGGGGGGGCTGGGCTCACAGGACAAGAACTAGGGAACAGGTGATATAATTGTTTGGACTGTCTCAATGAACTTAAAATGTGTGATAAGTCTTTCAAATGACAAAAAGGACCGGGATGGAAACATGTGCCAGATAATGGTACTTACCCAGTTCTTGGACCAGTTCTACCCTGGGAAACCCCCATGAGGGATTGTGACAGATGGGTAGGACAACCCACCTGTCATTCATGTGGTAGCATGTGATTGACCAGTGGGTGACACTGACCATCTGTCAAATACTGATAAGGGTCTGGCACACAGCATACCCACTGCTGTGCTTGTAGCTATGTGACTGGCTACTTCATAGGTGTGCTAGTAGAAAACTGCATTTTTATTTTTATTTATTTAACTGGTTTTAGGTGAAGCCAGAAACCCTCCAATAGTTTTTATGTATTTTATAAATTTATATCCTGCTCTTCCAAAGGAGCTAGTTTTCCATTTCCTTGTACAGTACAACATGAAAAGAGCAGCATAACCTTTAGACAGAAAAGCAGCTGATGAGGAAGAAGATATTCAAAACAGATTTCTTTTCTCTGTAGAGATCAAACAGCGAGATCGAAACAAATGTGAAAGCATAGTTCAGATTTGACAGTAGCCTGAAAAGGGGCAGGAAAAAGGCCCTTGAATCTGAGAATCAGATGCTGTGGATAATAGGCTGTGGAAGTTTGTTTCCTTCTACAACAAAATTCCTCAAGTCACACAAAATGGGAGCTTTACATATTTGAGGCAGCCCTTTGCAAGGAAGCTGAGAAACATTGGCTTTATCTTTCTTCTCTTCTTTTTCAGGTACCTGCTGCATCATCTCCCTTTGCACATGTGTGGCTGGGATAAACTTTGAGCTGTCTCGTTACCCTCGCTATGTCTATGGGTTACCAGAGGACATCAGTCATGGCTATGGCTGGTCCATGTTCTGTGCTTGGGGAGGCCTGGGACTGACGCTTCTGGCAGGATTCTTATGCACATTGGCCCCCTCTCTCAATAGCCCCCGGACTGTCGTACAGAAACCCAGACAGGAAAATGGTACTGTGTGATGAGAAGGGAGCAAAGGACTCTAGCAAGCACAGGCCAGGCCAGGTCCGGCAGTGGGTTACTGCCAATAGTGGGGGCATCTGAAATTCATGAAGAAGGGAGGTTCCCACTGCAAACAAACGAAGGAATTCAGCTGCTATGTCAAAGACTTGGGGGGGACCCCTCCCTTCCTTTGATTCTTCAGCCTGCCTGTCTGATACAACCAACCAAATCAGGTTAATTCTTTATTCCTGGCTTGCCTAAAGGGAACTTTTCTGTTAAATAGGGTGTGTTGCTGTAGGATCTGTGTACCATTTAAGCTGAATCAGATTTCTGCTAGGAGCAGAAGCCACTGTGAATTCCCTTTGGCGTCCTTGTGACTCCAGGGAACTCCATTTCCAAGAATCTTTGAGGACCAGTCAGAGGTAAAGACCAAAGGGAAATCCAGCCAGTCTCAGTATTCATAGAATCATAGAGTTGGAAGGGACCCTGAGGATCATCTAGTCCAACCTGAATATGTAGCCATCCCATATAGGGATTGAACCCGCAACCTTGGTGTTATCAGCACCACGCTCTAACCAACTGAGCTATCCTACTGACTCTCTTCTGCAGCAGGGACCTGATGCTGTTACAGACTTAACACAGCCTACTGCTTCAGCCTTTGACACCAGCTTAAGTGGGGGCTTTATAGACATTCAGAGAGGAACATTAGCAAGTTCTTCCTCTGGACCACACAGTATCTAACCTATGCCAGCTCTGGGAGCCAAATATGTATAGCAGTAGCTCATGAAAGGTTACTTCTGGGATAACACATAGGGAGTTAGAGCAAGCAGCAAATAAATGAGACTTCAGTGCTTGAGGAATCCTTCCACCAAGGCATCAGGCTTGAGTTAGTGTCAAGATAACTCACACGCATACAGAAAAGCATTTTGGGGGATGGCAGGGGTGGCTGAACCTAATTAACTTAATTGTGTGATATTCCTGCTTGAAGTAACACAAAGAACAAAACAACAGGTTTCTGGTTGAGGGAAGAAAGTGGACCAGGGCTCCCATCCTAGAAATGATGTTGTCATAGCAACTGCTGTAATAGGCAAATGAGATTTGCAAGCTGCTTCAAATCCTTCCAGGCTGAGTGTAGAACTTTACCATTTTGGATAATGAGCACAGAAACTTGAAAAGACAGCCCGCTTGGTAGCATCCTCTTCTAACAGAAAAGGAAGCACTTTTTATTAAATGGACTCACTACGGACGTGAACAACGAGAGCTGGGCCTAACTCAGGAACATCAACAATGGTGCTGAAGGGGAGGAACTGGTCTTTCCTCATTGTACTCCTTTTCTGTCTCCTCAAAAGACTACACAGAAGCCTTTTTTGGAGGGCTGTTTACATTGTATTTTTAAGTGGCATGTAATTAATAACTCAGTCCTAAAGTCAATGTATTCATGGAAAGTGTGATTTTTAAATGGAAGTTGTAAGTTTCAAGAGGCATTAAATTAAAAGGCTTGGGTCCAGTGAGAAGCTGGAGATTCTCAGCCTTTTGGATCTCATTAAGAGAGACTGACATTAATTTTCTGCACTTCTACACAATCACAGCTGCTGGAGAAACCCTGTCATGCAGGGAGACAGGAATGTCACTTATTTGGCAGCCGGCCTCGTAATCCCAGCTGTTGATCTTGTTCCTGCCCACAAAGCCTAATGTGTGTATGGGACAAGTTTTGCCTCAAATAAAAATTACTTCCAGAGAATAAGCAGGTTGATTGGTGCAACCTTACACCCTCTAGGGGACTTTAGTATACCTGTGCCTTTAGTTTAAATGCTCTGTAGGGGGTGTAAGCATACATCAGCAGGAACTGGAATGCTGTGGTGAAGGAGTAATTTTTTAAAAGATTAAGAATTCAATCACATAAACAGCAAATGACAAATTTGGGTTCTTTGTGCAAATTTTGGTGTTTTTAAGGGGTTAAAAAGAAGACATATGCCTCATACATGCATAAGGGTACCATTCCACGAAGGTAATTCTTTTTCTTCAAGGTGTAGCAACATAACAGCTGCCTTAGTCAAAGCAAATGCTTTATTTTAGCCCATCAGGTAATAATAGAAAGTAAGAAAGTTCCAGATCCAACTCTTGATCCTGGTTTTCTCAGCCAAAGCCTGAATAATAAGCTTCAGGTGCAAGAATCAGGCATAATATTGTAGATTGGCTTTCTTCTTGGCCTGGACTTCCAAGATTCCTTCCATATAATCTTCATGGGTAAGCTCTGTAGCTCCATGCCGTAAGGCAATCATCCCCTGATCCAAAGAGAAAAAGGATGGCTCAGAAAAAAAACCTAATAATGCATCACAGAAAATTGCCACTCTTTTGTGTTGAAGGCACTCTCCCCAGTTTAGCATCAGCTGCTGAGGACAGTTTCTCAAAGGAAGCAACATTGGGGGTGGGGTGGGGTAGATCTACTTACCGCTTCCACACACACAGCCTTGCACTGTGCCCCGTTGAAGTCATCTGTGCAACGAGCCAGCTCTTCATAATTCACATCAGGGCTGCAAAGAAAGAAATTATGTTTTCAAAATTAAAAAGGGAAAAAGAGCTCAACTGGAAAGGACACACAAAAACTTCCTGAGAATGCTTCAACGTGAAAGCTAGGGCTGTGCAATGTTCAGTGATAAAAATTAATTTCTGCACCACATAAAGCAAAAAAACTGCCCTCTGTATAAAATTAAGCACACTTACTGTATTTAAATTTGAATTAATTATTCTGATTTGACAAGTCACAGGGAAAGGAAAGAAGCGCTAACATGTGTTTACAGCCATAAAGATCAGAACTGAGCTCTGAGAAAGTCAAGATTCTTAAGCCCAATAGCATAACCTGTGCTCCTACTGAATCCAAGACAAGAACACTCTATAGTTTACTTATGACAAGGCCTGGAGAATAAAGGAAGAGTACTATTGCCTGCAACCCAGCCATTTCCACAAGCTGGCTTCATTCCTTTTTAATACCTGACATTCATCTTGCGTGAATGGATCTGCATAATCCTGGCTCTAGCCTCCTCATTGGGCATTGGAAACTCAATCTTACGATCCAGTCGTCCTGAACGGAGTAGAGCAGGATCTAGGATATCCACACGGTTAGTCGCAGCAATCACCTGGATAAGAGAGAACCCAGAAACAGTGATTTTAGTGCTCTGAGATGCAGGTGAACCTATTAACATCTTTCTCATCAAAATGGCTTCGAAAGCCACTCTGTAATCTCTGCTTGCAGCACGCCCACCTCGTACCCTCAAGCAAAGGAAAGTTACCTTGACTTGTGTGTTAGGTTGGAACCCATCAAGCTGGTTCAGCAATTCCAACATGGTCCTCTGTACTTCCCGATCACCAGCCTTTTCACTGTCAAATCTGGAAGAAATCATGGTATAAAGTCAACTTTTGTTACACAGCATATCCCTTGCAGAAACCTTATTTTCTTGTTCACCATACAAGTATAAGCCTAATCTAATTGTTACTGCAATGTCATCATAGTCAGTGAAGCAAATGACTCCCCTATGGTAGCACAACCACCATTTGAACCTTCAGAAGCATGGATTTTGCATGTGTCATGTAAACATACTATTAGTTACTGTGCCAGTGTTAATGGGCCAATATCAATGGGCTAATCAAAATAGGTGATTGGGTCTATGCTGCTGACATGGGAAACAGTGGTATGATTTAGGACAATTCTATCTGACTTCAATTAAAATGCCTGCTGTAACAACAATCATCAGTAGGTGCTGGAAGTTCAACAGGGAGGGGACCTGTCTGACCTCAAGTAGAAAGAAGTTCCACAAATTTGGAACACATGGCTCCCGGTGGATACAAGTTGTGCATCCGAGCCATGGGGAAGCACTAACAGTGATTACCCCAAAGACTTCATTGATGGGACAGAGATACTAGGCAGTTCTTGTGGTCTCCTGGATCCAAGTTGCTAAGGTTGATACAAGAACCTAGAACTTGACCTGGTAGTTTACAGGCAGCCAATGCAAGCTTTTGAACACCAGACTTCTGTGCTGGTGAAAGTCTGTCCCCATGAACAGTCTAACCCTTGCTGGAGCTTCCAGACCAAGCCCAAGGGTAGCCCCATTCAGAGCACATTGGTAACCTCAAGGCTTGATTATAGCAATGTATGAATCACTATGGCCAGACTATTTCTGTCCAAAAACAGCTGTAGTTGATGTACAGGCAACCACCAATTGATGTGTGACTAGGAACGCAGCAACCTAGCAGTGGCTGGAAAAGGGGGCCTGATGGGGCAAAATGGACTTATGCATGCTCTGCCGATGCACACAGGGGTCAGGAACCAAAACCCCATGCAAATCTGCTGTTGCCTGTATACGGAGCTAGCTTATAAGGAGGGTGGTTTTTCAACAGCTACCATGGATCTCAATTAGGACTACAAAAGTTCAGCCATCTTTTCATCTAACATATATTCTTACAGAAATCAGGAACGATCCTATCAATGCTTGTACATTACAGTCTTATTTGGCTTCACAAAGGAGCCTGGCATGATTTCCAGATCATATACAGTCCCAAGATCTTACCTTTTTGTGCCAATGGCATCAAGTTCATCAATAAAGATGATAGAAGGTGCTTTCTCCTTGGCTAATGCAAAGGCATCTCGCACTAATTTGGCTCCATCTCCAATGAACATCTGCACCAGCTGTGGGCCAGCCAGCTTCAAGAATGTAGCCTAGAGAGTGGGTAGCAGAAAAGGAAAGTATATGCAGGCTTGTGGGTTCTGCACAAGTGTGGTATCCCAGGCAAACAAAATTTGTACTAAATACAGTATTTTGCATCCTAACAGTATACACTTCCATAAAGTAAAACTACTTAAAAAACTAATATTGAAATAAAATAATCAAATCAAATGCAGTATGAAAGGATTTGGATTTGAAGCATGGACTACGCAGCTGTGGAATCACCATACAGACCCCTACCCAATACTAAGACAGTTCCTGGACTTTGGGAATTCAACATCAAATCTTACCTTTGTCTGTGCAGCACATGCTCTTGCTAAAAGTGTCTTTCCTGTTCCTGGAGGTCCATACATGAGGACCCCTTTAGGAGGCTGGATACCCAGGTTTTCAAATTTTTCTTTATGATTCATTGGCAAGACAATCGCTTCTACCAGCTGCCAAGACAGAAAGAGATGATGAATCCCTACCATGGACCATGCTGCCCATTAATCCACACTCCAGGACAGGTATTATTTATCATTTATAAAGCACCTAAAATGTATCCAATGCCGCAGACATATTAAGAACAAGACAATCCCTGCTTGCAGGCTTACAGCTTAAAAGACTGCTCCCCCCCCCCGCCTCTTGTTCTCACCTCTTGGATCTGTTTATCCAGTCCCCCAATATCACTGTACTGCTCTGTAGGCCTCTCGTCCACCTCCATGGCTTTGACCCGTGAGTCATATTCTGTGGGCAGGGTCTCCAGAATCAGGTAAGAGTCCTTGTTCACTCCCTGCAGATAGAAGTTCAGGAATTAGTCTTTACTCCAAAACCAACATCTTCATACTCAGGTCATGCTCTCTGCCCCTCCCCCCTTTTAAATTCTCTTGTGTTATTGTTGCAAATCCATCAAGAATCTGTCAATTAAACATTAGAGTCACTATTTCTGGGCATTAGATTAACCAACAAGCACTGTTGCACTGGTTTAATTTTGGACTCCATTTTGAAATCAAACAAGAGACTAGTCTTTATTTTAAAGCAGAAAATAGTTACTAAACTGTGAAAAGCGAACAGCCACGGACATTCATGAAAAGGAATATTTGTCATCATAAGTCATGTTATAACCACTAGTCTGAGGCATAAGAAAAATAATTCTTGTGGGAGCAGGGCCGGGGCGGGAGAGTGCTAGAGTTCTGTCTAGTCAAGTTGAGTGGGATCAATTCCAATCTGTTACCTCCGAGGATGTGGACAGGCTGCTTGGACGAGTGAAACCAACCACCTGTCTCCTGGATCCTTGCCCATCCTGGCTTATAAAAGCTAGCCGGGAAGGACTGGGCAATGGGCTTCGTGGGGTGGTGAATGCTTCCCTCCGTGAGGGAGCCTTCCCAGACCCGCTGAAAGAGGCGGTTATTAAACCGCTTCTTAAAAAACCATGTTTAGATGCGGCCACGATGGCCAACTATCGCCCAGTCTCAAATCTTCCATTCCTGGGCAAGGTGATTGAGCGAGCGGTTGCCGAACAACTCCAGGCACGCCTGGAAGAAGCGGACCATTTGGATCCCTTCCAGTCGGGATTCAGGCCTCATCATGGGACTGAAACTGCCTTGGTCGCACTGGTTGATGATCTCCGGCGGGCTAGGGACAAAGGTGAGAGCTGTTTCCTAGTTCTGCTGGATCTCTCAGCGGCGTTTGATACCATCGACCATAGCATCCTTCTGGACCGTCTTGAGGGGCTGGGAGCTGGGGGCACTGTTATACAGTGGTTCCGCTCCTTCCTCCTGGGCCGTGTTCAGAAAGTGGTGGTGGGGGATGAGTGTTCAGACCCCTGGGCTCTCACTTGTGGGGTGCCTCAGGGTTCTGTCCTCTCCCCCATGCTTTTCAACATTTACATGCAGCCGCTGGGAGAGATCATCAGGAGGTTTGGGCTGGGTGTTCATCAGTATGCGGATGATACCCAGCTCTACCTCTCTTTTAAATCAGAACCAGTGAAGGCGGTGAAGGTCCTGTGTGAGTGTCTGGAGGCGGTTGGAGGATGGATGGCGGCTAACAGATTGAGGTTGAATCCTGACAAGACAGAAGTACTGTTTTTGGGGGACAGGAGGCGGGCAGGTGTGGAGGATTCCCTGGTCCTGAATGGGGTAACTGTGCCCCTGAAGGACCAGGTGCGCAGCCTGGGAGTCATTTTGGACTCACAGCTGTCCATGGAGGCACAGGTCAAATCCGTGTCCAGGGCAGCTGTTTACCAGCTCCATCTGGTACGTAGGCTGAGACCCTATCTGCCTGCGGACTGTCTCGCCAGAGTGGTACATGCTCTGGTTATCTCCCGCTTGGACTACTGCAATGCACTCTACGTGGGGCTACCTTTGAAGGTGACTCGGAAACTACAACTAATCCAGAATGCGGCAGCTAGACTGGTGACTGGGAGCGGCCGCCGAGACCATATAACACCGGTCTTGAAAGACTTGCATTGGCTCCCAGTACGTTTCCGAGCACAATTCAAAGTGTTGGTGCTGACCTTTAAAGCCCTAAACGGCCTCGGTCCAGTATACCTGAAGGAGCGTCTCCACCCCCATCATTCTGCCCGGACGCTGAGGTCCAGCGCCGAGGGCCTTCTGGCGGTTCCCTCATTGCGAGAAGCAAAGCTACAGGGAACCAGGCAGAGGGCCTTTCTCGGTAGTGGCGCCCACCCTGTGGAACGCCCTTCCAGCAGATGTCAAAGTGATAAATAACTACCTGACATTCAAGAGACATCTTAAGGCAGCCCTGTTCAGGGAAGTTTTTAACATGTGATATTTTATTGTATTTTTGGTTTTTATGGAAGCCGCCCAGAGTGGCTGGGGAGGCCCAGCCAGATGGGCGGGGTATAAATAATAAATTATTATTATTATTATTATTATTATATTGTATGCACCAAGATTCAGCATCAGAGGAGTAAACAAGAACCCCGTAATAAGACACCAAGCAGTACTTTTGTGAAGTGAATCTCAGTGTTCATAAGTATCCAATATTTCTTTAAATAGAATTCTCTTTTTGGGGGGAGGTGGGGGTCTTGATAGGCTACAAAAAACTCTTGGAGGGCCACTTTTGGGTTAGCCACCCCTGCTGTACAGCATTCACACATACCTCAGCTGCATTAAAAGGGAAGTCTACTATGGACTTAAATCAAACAGCTAAGAAATATTGGCTGAACAGATTGCCTGGGGTGGCAGTTTACTAAAATGTCATAATAATTCTCAAGACAATTAGGGATACCTCATTTATGGTAAACTATCCAGCGCTGTGGGTTAAACCACAGAGCCTAGGACTTGCTGATCAGAAGGTCGGAGGTTTGAATCCCCGCAATGGGGTGAGCTCCTGTTGCTCGGTCCCTGCAACCTAGCAGTTCAAAAGCACGTCAAAGTGCAAGTAGATAAATAGGTACCGCTCTGGCGGGAAGGTAAACGGCGTTTCCGTGCGCTGCTCTGGTTCGCCAGAAGTGGCTTAGTCATGCTGGCCACATGACCCGGAAGCTGAACGCCGGCTCCCTCGGCCAATAAAGCGAGATGAGTGCCGCAACCCCAGAGTCGGCCACGACTGGACCTAATGGTCAGGGGTCCCTTTACCTTTACCCTCAACAGTATATCATGAAAAACAAATGGCTGCTTATGGTTGCGCAAAGCAGAAACTACTCACCACCAGATCTCCAGGCTTCAGTTTTTCAGCATCAACCAACCCAATCACAGGCAGGAAATAAGTCTGTTGAAGAAAATGCAACAAAGTATTAACATTTGGATTTGACCTAGGTGCCATCAGTTCTCCAAATGCTCAACACAACAAATAAATCTAAAATGCACTCTTAAAACCTAAAAAAAGCCCTAGCTTAAAAATGCCTGCTGAAATAAAACAGGTTTAAAAGATATGCCAGGCAAGCTTCTATTGGGAGGTAATGTCATGATCTTTAGTGTTTTGTGGAGGGGGGGGCATAATTCAATAGCTATTTTCAATGGGTTCAATGGATCCGTTTGTTTGTTTGTTTGGTTGGTTGGTTGTAAGCTGCTTTGGGTTGCCCTGAGCAAAATAAAGTGACTAACAAATTTAATAAATAATAAAACAATAATACTTTTTTGCATGTACAAAATCCCAGATTCAATCCCTTGCACCTCCAGTTAAAATGGTTTAAGGTAGCTTCATATATGTGTGTATAAATGACAGCACTCTCAACAAGCTGTTCTCACCTGACGAGTAGAGGTCTTGATCACAGCACACTTGCCCTTCCTTTGAGAATCAAGGTCAATATTTGCTCCATCCTCCTCTTGGTCATTGGGATCAACATCTAGCAGCTAGAGGTGCAAAGTGACCAACAGGAGTGCAAGCATACCACAATTAATCACATCATAATCCTGGCTGACAATTACACACAGCAATGGAAAGAAGCACTAAGTTATCCAGCAACTATTAAGAGTCTTTGAGGCCTCCAGAATTATCTTGGTCCATCACTCCTTTGCAGGGGAAATCAATAGGTACAAGTCAGTAGGTAGTTTCGCCTATTGCACAACAGCTAGGAAATATTGTGTAATATAGGCAGACACCATTTAATTTATTAAGCATTTACTTATATCACCCTTTAGCCAAACAGCTCCCAGGGTAGTTCACTGCAAAATATAAGCTAATAACCAGTGTCCAAAAGTTGTCTCAGTATTTTCCCCTAAGTTTTAAAATGAAAAGTAGTCCCCATTAGAAATGCAAAGGGAGACTGCAGATTGCTGCCTTTGCCAAGAAATGTAGGTCCTCTTTGCAGCTGATTCATTTATGACTATTTTTCAGACTAGCAAATTAAAGCACAGAGAGACAACTGTCTTCATATATACTTGGAAGTTAAGTTCCATTGTCTTCAGTGGGGTTTACCTAATAAATTTATTTAGCACTGCAGCCAAAAAGTTGCATCAAGAAATCAAACTGAGCTAGTGAAAACTATGAAAGGAACACTGCAGCAACGACAACATTAGAAATAATGCCTTTTAAAACAAACATACATATTTTAACAGGCCAAGTTGTTATAGCGCTTTCTCCACAGACTCCATCCATGTTCTCTTTGCAGAACCTGTTTAGCACTACCATCTTAAGCCATCTTCTAAAGCACCAAAGGATCATCTCATGTGCACAAATAAGAAGCAATCAATCTTAGCAGCATCCATTTTACTATTGGCATAAGAAACTCACCTCTATGACATTGGAAACAAGATATGGCAGTGTTTTGTTTACTTTTATCTTCTCACTGTTCTCTTTGATCTTATCTTTCATGGCTTGCAGCTCATGGGTTACTCTCAGCACCTCACTCTTCATGATCTGTAAATTCCAAGTAAGATATTACTTCAAAAAACAAGCATCAGCGTAAGTATGTTCATGCAAGTCTAGAGAGGAACAACTAAACAAAAAATGAAAGGAAACAAATCTGCTGAGAAAAAAAGAAGCAGCAAATATAATTTGGCCATAGTAGAAGAAAACGGAACAGTCTCCCAACAACTCTCAGCTAATTCTTCTCACAGAGCTACAATTCTCAGAGCTCCCTGGGAAGACAGATTTACTGTTAGACCATTGTGAATTGTAGCTCTGTGAGGGAAATAGGGATGGCCTAACAATGCTCAGGACTGTTAACTACACTTCCCAGGATTCTTCAGGGGAAGCCATGTCTGTTTAAAGCGCTATGATGCTGCTTTAAATGTATAGTGCAGCCAGGACTTAAGTCACACTTAAGTGACTGGGCATTTTGCCTCGAAAGGCAGGCCAAAGAACAGGTATGCTAGGTGACGAGAACGGCCTTAAGGGGAAGGGCGAGCCGGGTGTGGGTGTCTCGGTTACAGGAACTCAACAGAAAAGACTGAAAAGGGACAATGGCAACCTGGAGCCACCGGCTCTGCCAGCCCAGCCCAGCGCAACCTCACCTTGATTTCGCTGTCCAGCAGGCGGGTCCTCTGCACGATCTCTTCCGTGGACATCTTGAGGACCTCCTCGCCGATCCCATCCTAGGCAGAAACACAGAGTCATGGCCAGAAGCAGCCCGTCTCTTCAGGCCCGGCCCTCCTCACCCACCCAGGACCCTTCCGCGGAAGCCACGGGGCGGCCCGACCGGGGGAGCTTGTGCCGCCGAACAGTACCGAGACCACGGGGTCCCCTTTCACCCCCTGCGCCCTCATCCGTCCGTCCCCCCATCTCCTCACCTCCGCTTCATCCCAGACCGACGCCATCTTTCTTTAGCCACACTAGCCAAGCTCCGCCTTCGAAGCAGCAGATTCGACGCGCTTGGCGAGAGCAGCGATAATGACTCTCTTTGCAGTGGTGACCGACGTCTCTCAATGTTCCCCGTCTCTCTTTAAAGCTGAGTTACCACAGTTGCCTTTTCCTTAACCCAGCGAGAAAACATGGGAAAGTCGAATCTGCCGAAGCAGGTAGAATAGGCGATTTCCCTACACTGGAGTCATGTGACCACGCGCTCAAATTCGCTGAGTGATGGTCTTTCCTTAGCTCCTTAGTGGAACTTCGAGCGGTTCCGCTGCCATCTTAGTTTAGGGCAGCGGCGGAAACCTCGGACGACTTAGCTTCATAGAGATAAAAACCTTAGGAGGAGCACCCGTCCCCTAGTCCTCAGTTCGATTTCGGTTTTACACTGCGGGAGGAGGAGGGAAACACCCCGTTTCAGAATGCGGGTAAACAAGCACAAATGCGCCTGGTGTTATTTTGCGCGTATGTGAACGAAGGAATGGACAGCTCAGCTAGGTTTTCCTTAGCTATAACAACCTGATGCAAGCTTTTTATTCTTAACAGTATGCTGCCTCGTCCCCACCAAAACGTGTGGTTGACGTAACAAGTTCATTAAACGAGGTTATTATATACCGTTTGCTGGCAGGGCTGGAAAACGGGGGCCAGCAACAGGGAAGGAGAGAGACGAGGGAAGAATGAGTCCGGAGGCCAGCTTAGCTTTAAAGCCTTTTAGGGATATAATATTCAGGCAGTCAATTAACTGTGAACTTTCCCTTTAAAGTGCTCAGTTAATTGGCAGCGTCTCAATGTTCCCATACGCTCAACGTCAGGTGGTTCAGCCGAAAGAACACCCTTGGCGCTCTTCTCCTTTGCAATCGCCGTTATCTACGTAAAATGTGTTTACTGTTTACCGGGATCTGAGTCATGTTTCAACAATAAAGACCGCTGCCAAGTCGTTCTCACTCAGTCCCCCATCAGATAGGTGGAGATCGTGACCCACACTTGGTTAAAATTCTCACGCAGTCTGCAATATAGGGATGCTAAAATGGACTTCATTAGAGTGTTGTCATATAAGCCACTGGTCTCTCGCAGCATGCCACCAACACATCGGCAAGATGGATTATTAATAATGGGTGACATCATGCTAAGAGATTGTTGCAAGCCACCCTCAGCCTCACTCTCCTCCCTCCACAACCCATGCTAGGAAATCTGCTAAGATTCTGCACACACATAGCATAAGAAATCCACAAAAACCCTAACAAACATACTGATTTAATCCCTCATCTGCACTTAGGGTTACTCACAAGCCTTTTCCATTTCTCCTCAAATAGGTCTTGCATTAAAAATGATGCCATTCCCTTCTCTCTACATTCTGGTTTTCTTGTTGTTGTTGTTTTGATAGGAACACAAAATGCAACAGTATATTAATAAAAAATGATGCTAACTACAGCATGCATTACTAGGTTAAAAACTGCTTTTAATGTTTGTGGGCGGTGGTGGTGGGAGAGAGAACTGTGTCAAGGTACTTTGAAAATACTGAGTCGTTGGCTGATACAACTTTATTGATTCCAGTATAAATAGTTTTACCGAATGTATAAATATACTGAAGACAACATAATTGCAGACAGATAACTGCTTCTGCTTGTGTAACATCACAATACTATGGCAAACGAATAAAACAAAAGAAACATTCCCCGCAACAAACACCTTCCCCCACCCTGGCCCAAGAGGCTTTCCCTTTGTAGTCCCATGCAGCAATTGGATTTTCTGCAGGAGCAGAACAGAGTGGCTCTCAAGCCAAATAAATCCAATACTCTGGGCAGAATCCCAAGCACACTGTGGCAGACACAAACACATTGCTGAAGGACAGGTGGAGACATCACAGAGCGGAACATTCTAAGGCAAAAGAAGCTTGAATTTGATAAGTCAGGTGAGCTCATCAAAGGATCCTATTTTATATTACGGATATCATATTAATTTCCCAAAGTATATACAGGGAACTGCTGCTAGGCATCCATGAGGAAGTAACTTATAGCGGTACTTGGGAAATGGCTGGTACCTCTCCATAGCTACATCATCCAAGTAGTGTGTTGTCATGATAATTTTGTTTCCCACAAGGAATGAATAAAAACAAGGTGTGTGGTATGAGTGTCAGAACTGGACCTGGTAGAAACTACCAGAAGCAGCAGAACATGAGAATGAGAGGACTGGGATCGTAGGAAGACATGCTAACCAACTCCCTTCAAAGAACAGAGGTGACATATTGGTTGTGATAACTGGTTTTGAGGAAAGAGATGTCAGAGAACTCCAGGTAGACATCCACAACTCAGATGTGGGGAACATCAGGGAGCAGAGAACTAGGTCCACATGTTGCATCCAGTCTGCAGGAGACCCTCTTCCGACCCATTGGTTCCCCATCTCCATACCATGAGCCTAAAATGTTCCAGCTATTTGACACTTATCGAATGAGCTCTCTTAAATCATGGATTCAGTGGATCACACAAATCCTGGTTTAACAGATGAGCGCCGGCAATTGGGGCAACCACGTGTCCCATTGGTCTGAAGGCACCTGCAGTGAAAAAGAAGAACACCTTAAGCTGGAGTGTAGAGGAGGTTCTAACTTAAATAACTAGTCCTTAGGGAGGAATAGGACCTGATAATTACTGATTACCTATATTCATAATTGAATCATTGGAAAGAACCACAAGCACCATCTAGTTCAACCCTCTGAAATGCAGGAATCTTTAGCCCAGCATGGGGCTCAAACCCACCACCCTGGGAATAAGAGTCTCACGGTCTACCAACTGAGCTATCTCAGTACAGTATTTAAGATACAGGAATAAGGCACATAACGGTACCATTAAAAAAACACTGCCACACAAATCAATACAGTGGTACCCCGCAAGACGAACGCCTCGCAAGACGGAAAACCCGCTAGACGAAAGGGTTTTCTGTTTTGGAGGCGCTTCGCAAAACGAATTTCCCTATGGGCTTGCTTCGCAAGACGAAAGCCCATAGGGAAATCTCCGGGACAGCGGGGAAGCGCAGCGCGTCTTCCCCACTGTCCTCGGACCTCCTCCGAAGCCTGGCGGGGGGGGGGGGGGCGGAGGGAAATAAAGGGGGAAAAAATTATTCCCCCACCGCCAGGTGTGGGGCTGGGGTGGGAGAAGCCCGAGCTTCCCCCTCCCCCAGAACGGAACCCAGAGCCATGCCGAAGCTGCGCGCAGCTTTGGCATCGCTCTGGGAGCTTGCGGGGCTGGGGGAGGAGGAAGCCCTCCGCCAGCCTCCAAACCATGTCGGGAGACAGCGGGATGGCGCCCTGCGCCTCTCCCGCTGTCCCCCGAGTTTGCGGGGCTGGCGACGGGGAGGAGCAGGCTTCTCCCCCCGCCAGCCTTCCAGCCAAGTTGGGGGGCAGCGGGAAGGGCGAGCTGCGCCTCTCCCGCTGTCCCCCGAGTTTGCGGGGCTGGCGACGGGGAGGAGCAGGCTTCTCCCCCCGCCAGCCTTCCAGCCAAGTCGGGGGACAGCGGGATGGCGCGCTGCGCCTCTCCCGCTGTCCCCCGAGTTTGCGGGGCTGGCGACAGGGAGGAGCAGGCTTCTCCCCCCCGCCAGCCTTCTAGCCAATTTGGGGGACAGCGGGATGGCGCGCTGCGCCTCTCCCGCTGTCCCCCGAGTTTGCGGGGCTGGCGACGGGGAGGAGCAGGCTTCTCCCCCCGCCAGCCTTCCAGCCAAGTCGGGGGACAGCGGGATGGCGCGCTGCGCCTCTCCCGCTGTCCCCCGAGCTTGCGGGGCTGGCGACGGGGAGGAGCAGGCTTCTCCCCCCGCCAGCCTTCCAGGCAAGTCGGGGGGGCAGCGGGATGGCGCGCTGCGCCTCTCCCGCTGTCCCCCGAGTTTGTGGGGCTGGCGACGGGGAGGAGCAGGCTTCTCCCCCCCGCCAGCCTTCTAGCCAATTTGGGGGACAGCGGGATGGCGAGCTGCGCCTCTCCCGCTGTCCCCCGAGTTTGCGGGGCTGGCGACGGGGAGGAGCAGGCTTCTCCCCCCCCCCCGCCAGCCTCCAAACCATGTCGGGAGACAGCGGGATGGCGCGCTGCGCCTCTCCCGCTGTCCCCCGAGTTTGCGGGGCTGGCGACGGGGAGGAGCAGGCTTCTCCCCCCCGCCAGCCTTCTAGCCAAGTCGGGGGACAACGGGAATGGCGCGCTGCGTTTCTCCGCTGTCCCGGACGGCTTTCAAAAGCCTGCCTTCAAAAGCCGTCCGGGACAGCGGAGAAATGCGCTGCCTTTCTCCGCTCTCCCGGGCAGGCAGGGGGGAGCAAAGACTTTTGCCCCCCGCCGGCCTTCAGAAGAGGTCCTGGACCTCTTCTGAAGGCTGGCGGGGGGCAAAAGTCTTTGTCCCCCCTGCCTGCCTTCCCAGGGGCTTTTAAATCGCCCCGGACAGGGAGAAGTCCTCTGCTGTCCCGGGCGATTTTAAAATGCCGCCCGCCAGCATTTTAAGATCGCCCCGGACAGCGGAGAAGTCCTCTGCTGTCCCGGGGTTTTTTAAAATGCTGGGGGTGGGAAGAAAAGCCCTTGCCCCCCCCCCCCAGCCTTCAGAAGAGGTCGGGGGACAGACTGTCCCCGGACCTGGTCTGAAGGCGGTTTCCCTAGGAACGCATTAATTGATTTTCAATGCATTCCTATGGGAAACCGTGCATCTCAAGACAAAAAACTCGCAAGACGAAGAGACTTGCGGAACGAATTAATTTCGTCTTGCGAGGCACCACTGTATTCAGAGCAGACTCATTGAAATTAAAGGACATAAGCCCACTGATCTCAATGCATCTACTCAGAGTATAACTTAGTCACTCACTGTTTTCCAAAACTGTTACAGGGATGCTTTCTTTTTCATTGAAGAAAACTAAGCAACTCATTTGCTGCAATTTGTGGGTTTTATCCACTCACATTAACCATTAGTCATGGCTATGCTACCAACCTATTCACATTCTCTTTTTGTTTGTTAATATTTGATCTGCTATTTACTACATGCTAAAGTTAGCCTTGCCAGATTATGGATGCCAAGATTTCTCGTCCATGAGGTCATTTGCTGTTTTCTTTTTGATGCTGGCCTCCAGGACCTCTTTGTTTACAATCAGACTTCCAAACTACTCCTGAACTCCCCTAGTTTCATTCCATGCTTCTGCAAAGCATGGAGTTGCTCCATTCACTCGCTCTACCCACTTGCCTGTTGCATTTCCCACCATGTAAGGCAGGATTTAGTAACTCACAGCGACAGATTACCCCTTCAGCTCCTTTTTTAATGCACAGCATATGCTAAATTTGGACAACATTTTGGAATAGATGACCTTCAACTACTTCCTGATTTTATTATTCTAATTGCTCATTTTGGAGTAGACATCAAACACAATCCATCCTTTCTTCCAATTCTCCACATTTTGCGACTAGTTTGTGGTGCAATATGACCTAGTTCCTACTGGGTCATAAACTTCAATATACCTCCCTACCAACTTCACTACAAAACAAGAGTTGTGACATTAACAGCAGACCTTCATTAGTTAATAAAGAAATCATTCATTCATCAACACCCCCCAGTCAATTCAGCTCTATCACTTATGATCTGATGCATCCCTTTCTGTTACTTACTTTATATGGAAGACATGGGAGCAGGGCAAAGCTTGGAGCTGGTGGTTCTTGTCTCCAATGGATTCACCACACATGCCACAGTAAAGCTCCATTTCTTCCACACATTCGTGAAACTTCACCACATGGTTGCGAAGCTCCCGCTGCTGCCCCTTTGTGCGGTAGATGCCTTCACACAGGCAGTGAACCTTCAGCAGGCCAAGCTGTGTGGAGATGGGGAAAGACGGAAAGGGCATCACAGAGGACTAGACTGGCTTTCTGCGGATCCAACCATTTGAATCCTTAATCAACAATAAAACTTTCTCTTTTACAACTTTCTGATGCCTTTATCACCTCCTGCGTCTCCCCTTGTGCTCCTCCTTGTCCTCTACCATCTGCCAGGTTAGTCTTCTCTCACCTAGAACTCTTGTTTTTATAAGGTGAAAATCTTACAACATACATATTAATCAAGCTTGATGAAAATGTCCCTCTTTTCAGGTTCAGTGGACATTTCCCCACATTAACCATACTCAGAGGAGACCCAATGAAGTTTATGGACATTTACAATGATTGCCTCTCCTAAACCATCTGTAAAATGAGAGAGGTTTTTTCTCCTCAGTGTAGTAGCTACCATGCTAACTCCATTTTCCTGAAAGTTATAAAAAGCTGGGAATAGCTCTTTTCTTCCCTTTCTATTAAGATGGCCTGCCTCCACCAAGGGCGCAGCTTACATTATCAATTTACACTAAAGTGTTCTCCAGAAGAATCCTGGGACTTGTATTTTGGTGAGGTGTTGCAGTTTCTGTTAGGAATTCCTATCCCTGCTCCCTCAAAAGTACCCTGTTGAAAGGAACTGACTGTTAACCAATTACAAGTCTATAGTTTTCCATCAGTGCCAGGACTTTCATCAATCACCACTGCCTTTTAAAAGTGTCTTCTTATGGTGATATTGTGCATTCATTTTCACTTGGGAGCTGCCTTGGACGCCTGTTAAGCAGAAAGCTGGATTCAACTTTTTATATCCTTTCTTATTTAGAGTAGATCCATCAAAGTCAATGGTCATTGATTTCAGCGAGTCTCCTCAGAGTATGACTTAGAAGGACACAACTCAAATATTTTAAATAAATAGAGCAGATTACCTCATAATTGGCACAAGGAATTGGCAATGAGAGGACTTACCTTGTTTCCTAGTCCCTCTGCCAGCTCATAAGCCTTCTCAATACTTTCTAGTGCCTGTGGGAAATGAAACAAGTTCACTATGCTGCATATTACTGTAGATGAGACAGAAATAAATCCATTTTATGCAGCTTTCATGTTGCATGCCGAAACACACCTCAGGTGAAAAGGCTATGGCTTTAGCTTGAATTTTTTTTAAAAAAAATTATTACAATCTATTGTGTGCATTTCTGTCAGAGCTCCTATATCTACTCATGTTGGATAGCTCACTGAAAACTTCAACTCAACCGTGCAGTGGCAGTGAGAAAGCCTAGTTCCACCCTAGAGATTATTAGGGAAGGAACATAAACTAAGATGGTCAATTTGGTAAGGCCTTTTGTGGAAATCTACGGTGCAGCTACATGGTCCTGCTTGCCACATCTGATTTATCGCTGTTGGCATCTATCTGTCTCGAGGGACAATGGAGTGCATCTCTAGGGGCGAACTCAAACCGCTGGAGAATCACAGCGCCCATGGTGGCTGCAGAAACTGGTAACTCGTAACTGCTGCCTCCCACGTTGGAGAGCTGCAGATTTCCCATCTACCCCTGCCATGAAGGAATCCTTAGTCATACTCTCTGTGAATGGTCTGTGAACATATCTGAGCAGGAAGGCACTGTCTCCATCTCTTCATGCTCACTAACCCTGAAAGAAAAACCACCCTACTGTATCTATTATGGGAACAGGTAATCTTAATGTTTCACGGTTATCTCCTGATTTGCCTTATTATGAACTTTTGAATTTCCCCAGCCACAACCAAGGATCTTTGGCTGGAACTGGATGTTACAGTTTTCTGTAAAATGAGCACAGAATTGAAGAAATAAAGTGCCATGGTGATAAGCATCAATCCCCTTCTGCTCCCCATTTGCTACATTGGTGTCTTAGGCTACTTCTTAGCTCATGTAATAAAAATCAGGCCACAGGAACAGGCTAGCCTTGGATTGGTACAGGCTAGCCTTACCAGTACTAAGAATATTTAAGGTGGTAACTGCGAGGGCCAAGTTGTTGGGATTTAGGGGAAAGAACTGAAAGGGAGAGATCGAAGGAGAATCAAGTGTCATCTATTCAGCTTTTCAGTTTAGGTTATCACTGACCTTGTCCAGTTCCTTCTGAATCACCCAGCACTTGGCCACGCCCAGCAGCACCTGGATCTGTCCCAGACGGTTCCCAATCTCGGTCATGATGCTCATTGAGGAATCGTAACGGGGGAATGCTATCTGCAGTATAAGAGAGGTCAATCACTCTCCAAGCCTTATAACTTCATCTCCAGACTGCTTTTGCCTGTTTCATACCTGCAGGAGCATGCAGAGCTTGTCTGAGGCCCAGGACAGGAGTCTTGTTAGAATAAAGTCATAAACTCAAACAAAAAAGCAGTAGGTCTCTGGCAAGGCACCTCAGCTGGCTTAGTCGTGGGCAAGTGTACCTGGCTGCCTCCCATCCCACTCCGCATGGGCTTGCATACCTGTATATCTGCACGGCTGCGGTGGATATCAGCAAAGCAAAGCAGGCATTGTGCCTGCAAAGGACGATCTCCATGCTGAAGGGCAATCTTCATTGACTCCTAGCAAGAAAATGTCACAGAATCAGAATTTAAACCTTGTCAACCACACCATAGATCCAGTTTGCTCTAAGAATTTTGCATCTACTTGGGGGTGAGGGTGTTCATATATGGTATATTGGTCTTGTGCCCCACTTGCACTGGAGAGGCCTCACCCATGTTATCTGCTGGCAATAAGAGAAAGCAGGAGTATACTTGTATGAGCTACAGGGCATATATTGCAATAGATGCCTTTATCTATGTGGGAATATACTTTGTACTATGTCAGACCTTCTATTTGTCTATCTAGCTCAATACTGTCCACTCAGATTGGCAGAATCTCTCTAGGGTCTATTTGACCTTTTAACTTGAGTTGCCAGGGAATGAACTTGGGATCCTTTGCTCACAAAGCAGGTCTGTTGCCACAGAATTACGGTCCATCCCTTGCTGACCTGCAGAGACCTCTCATTCTCTTTTTTTAGCGCCTCGCCACCTTGTACCTCACAGCATTCCATTGCGTCGGCCAAGCGCCCCAACTTCCGATAGGCCACAGCCATGTGGTACTGACTCATCGCGCGGTACTTTAGACTCCAGCCCTTTCCATAATCATTCACCAGCTCCGCAGCCTTGCATGGAAAGAACAGGGCTTTCTCATAGTCCTTAAAAAGATAAGAGACAAAAGCAGGGACAGAGGTGGGCGGGAGAGAAGCATGAGACCCTTAAGAGCGCTTGCGGAGCAGCAAAGAGCCTGTCAAGGTAATAATGGGAGCACCTATCTCCAGTTCTGCAAGCAGGCTGAAATCTAGTCCCTAATCAGCCAGGCTGTAAGGTGCATGCATTGTATGGTATGTACAGCAGACATGCCTATTTCTGATCAATCTCTTAATTCTACGACCTCTCATAAATTAGAAGATAAAACTTAGCAGATTTACAAACTCACCTATTTTCAGTAACTTAGGGAAACCCACCTACTCTGCACACTGCTGTTGCTCTTCAAAGGGACTTGCATCTCATTGTACAGATTTTAGTGAGCACCAATTTGGGGAAAGGGTTTGAGTCTTTTACAAATCCCCAAATTTAAAGTGAGAATGCATTAAAAACAAGCGTTGCCAAGGTTACACCCAGGGTCAGGGGGGCTATTGCCCCAGAATAGGAATATGCTTGTTTTCCCCAGAATTGGGAGAATTTCCTTCTCAGAAATGTAAAGCTTTAGGGGGGAAACCTGCCAAACCCTCTCCAATGGAAAACACTGGTACTAGCAGTGCTTTCCCCCCCCCTGGGGGTGCTCAAAGGTACGCAGTGCCAGCACCTTTTCTTTCCTAGAAGAAAAGCACTTATTAAAAGTGTGGCACTTACTCTAACAACTTTATGGCGAGTACCTTTTCTTCTAGAAGAAAAGTACTAGTACTTTGGGATTCATTCACACAAGTGAGGCAGTAGTTTATTGAGTTATTTGATAAAACATTGTCCATGTTGATGGGCACTGCATTCACTTTCTCAGAAAATTCTGTATGTGACAACTCATCAGACACAACCACACCACATGACCAAAAGGTGCTATAACTGCAGTTATAATACCTTAAAAATGATGGCGTAAGTAAGTTATTATAAATGTTACAGTCCCCCTTAAGCACATTTACCTTGTGCACAATCAGCTTTATTTGCTTGGCAATAAATAAATAAATAAATAAATAAATAAATAATGGGGGGTGGAAAGGGGGCGGCTGTCTAGGGGGGAAAGACTTTGGCAATCCCTCCCGCCACTGCACCCAATGTGTTTTGATTTTGGTTTAGACGTGATTGCTGGAATGTAACCCCTGTGTAATTTGCAGGCTTCCTATACCAAAACTGTAATATATGGAGCAGCCTCAAAGTCAAGCCCTTCTTTAAGGACTGCCAACTTGGCACTGCCACCTCTGCTAACTAGGCAATCAGTGCCCTGCTCCTCCTGTTATTGTTGGCAAGGGTTGTCAGGATCTTTTCAGCCTGCATGATGGCTCCCCACACTGATTGTGGGGCAGCCTAAGAGGGGGCAAAGGTATCTGCCTGTCACCAGGATACTTTCCTGACCTCATCCTGCACATTACATGACCAAACCACAGTCTGGACAGGCCCATGGACATTTGTCCGCATGCCTCAAATTCCTTCTGCTCCTGTCCTATTGTCCAGTCCCTCTCCACCTCCTGCCTGAGCAGTACCCACCTTGAGGTGTGTGTAGAAATTCCCTAAGCTGCAGCAGACCCGGCACTCCAGCATCTTGTCGTCATTGTTGTGGGCGTAGCGCAGGGCTTTCTCAAAACACTCCAGAGCCTTCTGGAAGATGCTGAGGCCGAGGTAGGCATTGCCCATGCTGAGGCTGACCTGGCCATTGAGCTGCAGGCTCACTGTGGTGCCTTGCATGTTCAGGCAGGTCTTGCAGTAGGAGATGGTTTTTTGGAATTCACAGAGCTTCTCATTGCTCCGAGCCAGATTCAGGTAGCTCTCTGTAAGGTAGTCCGGATCCTCCAGCTCCCGGGCTGTGTCAATCTGCACAACTGCAAACTTCCAGCAGAGAACAGAACATTTAAGGAACATCATCTCTGTTGCTAGAGAAGATACCTTGATGCATTCAGGTGCATGATGCACTGAGGAGCTTGGAGTTAAGAATACAGAAGTATGATATACTGGGTGAATTAAGGCCAGAAGTGGTGATTTAAGCAGATGCAGGAGACCTTCATGACCAAGAAGCCTCAATAGTAGGTATAAGGAGGAGCTGCCAATGGTCACAGGAGGAGACAAAAGGTGAGAGAGGGAGGAATTTAAACCTCCTTCACTGGAGGCTTTTAAGCAGAGCTTGGATGGCCATCTGTCATGGATGCTTCAGTTGAGATTCCTGCATTGCATGGGGAACCTTCCAACTCTATGATTCTATCATTTTATGAATCTCAATGGGCACCGTAATTAATCCCCATTCCTCACAGCTATACTACTGTAAACTCCAATGATTCCGTTCAGTCTATTGCTAGCTAAGGTCAGTTTTCTTCCTACTCAATTATCCTTACCAGAGTTTCTGTGTGAGGGAATTTCAGTATCTTTCAGTAAAATTCGAGAGTCCTTACCCATATCCTACCCTGTCTTTTTATATTTCAGTTCTGGCATTTTCAGAAAGATGGCAGCAGTATGAGAATGGACTGAATTGCTCCCTAAATAATTTGTTTTGGCTTATTTTCAACTACATGAAATATTGAACAGCTTTAACGAAACTAATTTTCTTAAATAATTAAATAGCTGCGCAGGTCCCGCTCTCAACCACTAAACACTGTGATATCCGATCACTCTCATGCCTCCCTGGCTCACTCTTTCCCTTGCACTGCAGTCTGCTGCTTTTTGGCTTGTAAAACTAATCGTTTTCATGGCTACTCTGTCTGCTTTCTGGTTTAACCCTGTTATTTGAGTGGAGGTTAGCGGGGATAAAGGACTAATTGCTGAAGAAAACTGTTACATGTGGGGAAGCTAAGAGGGCAGAGGGCGCTACCAGCAAATTCAGTGGTATAACTAAAGCTGATTTAGAGATCTGGTGAAACAAAGGTGCTTCCCCAAAAGGTTGGACTTTTTGCGGCAAGAAAAGTGACTAGAAACATGGGATGCAGTAACATCTAACCTCCCCACAAGCAAAGAAGAAAGAATGCTCATTAAATAGCCAACATGGCCTCATCTCCTTTGCAAAGAAATCAGGATGATTGCAGGTAATCTGGAAGCACACTGGGCAAAGAAAGGGCTTTCTTGTATAAGAAACAAGTGAGTCAGAAATGGTAGGATATAGCTGCCTTGATTTTTTAAATTAAGCTGGTCAAAACCCAAATGCAATATAATTAAGTAAAACAAACCACTCCGACTCTTTTTCTCTCTCTGCTGCGTCTCCTTACCGTGGGCTGCTTCCCTTCCATAGCGAAAAGCGTGTCCTGGGTAAAGCAGTCCTAACAACTCTTTCCTTTAACTTGCTTCCCTTCTGTGTATCATTCAGAAAGGGATTAATTGCAGCCAGGATGCTGATCCCTGGAACTGCACCCTAGACCAGCCCCTCTTCAACTCACATAGCTTTTGTCATCCAGAACTTTTGCCTGTGTTCTCTCCTTTAGTGTTAAACAGGTGCAACTATGTCCTTTCCCAGCTAATTAAAACCAGCTCCCATGCTAGATTTGAGGCAAAGAATTAAGCGCCATCTTGATGAACAGAAGTGCTTGGCAAGGCTTTCCATTTATAAATTGTTTATTCCAGAAGGTTCTCCAAACTTAGGTCCAGGTCTCTTAATTTAGACTCTGAAGTATTCAAGGCAAGGTATCTGTATCATTTCCAGCATCTTGATGAAGCACACGTTAGAGATGAAGTCATCTTAGCTAAATTAAATGTTTCACAGGTTATCGTCCCTGTTTATTATTTTAAGACTTAATATTAGATCTAAGCCAATGCTGTCCATGCATGTTTGTGCATGCAGTGTGTGTGTGTGTGCTGAACTCATGCACTCATACAACTAGACTTCACCTTCTTTGCTCTTCTCACCTTCAGAATCTGCTCTAAAGAGTTGGTAGACCCTCCAGAGCAGATTTTGGGGGTATAACGGGGGTGGGGAGATTAGAGGGAAGGGAAGTCTCCTTGCTCAAGTGCAAGCCTGCTCACACAACATTGGATTCTACTGTGTCATTTCAAGCCTGCTGTCTCATTTGTTTTTCTGTGGTTTAAACCTGTATTTCCTAAATTTGCGGCTCCATCATTCCTGGGATGATGGAAGTTGTAGTAGTCCAACAACAGCTGGAGACCCAAATTTGGGAAACCCTGACTTTAAACCTTTAAAAGCTCCTGTCAATATTTTGGTCAATTTGGAATCTCTCCTGCTCTCCATTTATCTGCAAAGCCTTGCTCCTGCCTATCCCTCTGCACTGATCTCCCAACATGTACCTTCTTGTGACCTTCACTCATCCATTCCTACAACCCTCAGCCATCCAAAGGGTGCCTGCTCCTTGCAATGCCTTCCCCCTTTCCCTCTTGCTGCCCTGGAATGCCCTCCCAGAACACTTAAGAACATAAGAAGAGCCCTCCTTTGCAAACCGGAATGTTCCTGGCCACTGTGTATGGGTTTGAGCATCATTAAGCATCTCCTCATCCAATGCATCTGTTCTTACCTAAGAAGCACCTGGCTGTGAGCTCTTCAAGATGGATTGCATCACACAGAGGCCTGCACAGAGATTAATGCACTTGCTTTGTGGAAGATGTAACAAGATTAAACACGAAACACCAAACTGAGGAAATGACATTAAACAACTGTTGGGGTGGCTAATTGTTGTTCTTCTGCAGCCGCTCTTTTAAGTTTGTGTGCATACCTATTTGGACTGTGAGCTCTCTGGAGCAGGGCTGTATCCACCTGCCCATGTTTCAGACTTTAGTGTTTTGGTTCTATAGAATCTCTTGTGTGGCTGTCACTTGGTCTTGGGGCTCTTTCAACCCTCAAATGAAACGCTTGCAAATGCTACTAGTACATGCTGCACTAGCAAGAAATTAGGTTCCCAAGTATTTTACTGAAGGGACCACTAGTGGAGCTGAGTCTCTGTTGAAGGTACACTGGCCAGCACCCAACCCACGATATAAAGATAATCCTCCCACAACTGTCTACACTGCACTTTTCTTACAATTGCCTTAAAATAAGGGTGACTTAACCTTTGGCCCCCCAAATGTTGCTGAACTACACTGTAGTCATAAAAGACGTAAGTGCAGGGCAAGTGGCTGTGGCTTGGCTGAAACTGCCCCACAGGCCAAAGGGGGAGGCCTGGGGGCTGGATGTTCCCTGCCACTGAACTACAGCCTCCACACATCAGCTAGACTGGCTAGGGCTGATGATATATGGAGGGCTCACAGATTCACCACCCCTGCCTTCAAAAGAACTAGTGTCATGGAGTGGCCAATAAGAACAGAGATTCTGGAAGATCTGAATTCCAGTCTCGTCTCGTTGGATGGCCTTTTGCAAAGCACTTACAACCCAGTGGTTACTAGCCATGATGGTTATATAGTTTCCCTCTAGGATCAGAGGCAGCACGTCTCCGAATACTAATTGCTGGGGAACAACAGGAGCATCTAGTTAGCCACTGTGGGAAAGCAGATGCTGGACTAGATAGCTCTTTGGTCTGATCTATAAGGGCTCATCTTTTGTTTACCCCTCACCCCTTGGTTAGGTCATCACAAGAAGGTATGCAGGGTGCTTTGAACATTTAGGGGAAGTTCTGGCAACCCTGATGAAGCACCATTGGGGAGTCACTGCCTTACTGGCATCAGACCATAAATGCTAGTAAAATGATAACAAGAAAGGAGTGTCTGGCTATTGTTGCTGATTTATTTAATTTGTATAACCCCCTTCTTCTGAAGATTGCATAATATGACAGAGTAGTCACTGAAATCAAAGGATAGCCTCAGGGCATTGCCTCCTGAACAGTTATGCACACTTTCACACGCAAATAATGCTTTGCAAAACTGAACAATCTGCTACAATAACACAACATGCTTTGGCTAGCACAATTACGTTCCTGGGAATTAAACATCAAAGACGGACAATCTAAGAATTTCTGGGGATGGAGAACTGGGAGCAGAGATGCAGGATGGCAATTTACAAATATAAGCAATTTACAGGACCTTTCAAGAGCAATTCTACCAAATCCAGGCTCACTGTATTTGCAGTTTGTCTGCTGAACTGCTCCCCAAAGCCTGCTTGCCCACCACAGCTCCCACCCCCTTTTTAGTGAGAGAAAAGAGCAGGCATTCAGCGTGAAATCTGCTTTACCTTTAGCATGTCTTTGTACCTGCCCATCTCTGAGTGAGCGGTGATGAGGCAACCCAGGACTCGAAACCTGCCAGCAGCATCCGTGCTCTTTTCCAAAACCTTCAACCAAACGTGCAGGGCCTTTTCTGTCTGGTTGGACTGGTAAAGTTGGAGTCCTTTTTCTATCTGCTGCTTTGTCTGGTCCTGACCCATCTCCTTTGTGCTCAAGAGCGTCATATACTAACCTGCCAGGACAGCAGACACACCGTGAAACACAATAAAGTTGGTGCTAAAACTGGAAGGCAGGTTTTACCATTCGGAAGCTCTGGACCACAGGAACCTCGGACGATTCAGAGGAAGGAATGTCAGCAGGAGATGGCAAATGTGGCCACCAAGGTCTTAGGGCAACCATTGTAATATTCTAGGCTAGCATCTTGGATGCTGCTGTCCTGCTAGAACTTTCTAAAACCCAAATCAATGAACAAAAGAGGTGGAAGACAAAAAAAACCACTGCAAGAAAAGAAGGAAAAAATCTCAAGTGGCTGGAGTGAAATTCAATCGGAATGGCCACTCCTGTGCCCCTCCCCTCCATTGGTGACAGCTGTGCCCGCCAATCCTGGTCACATGACTTCACAGGAATGCCAGTCTTGGTAACTCCCAAGGTCAGAAAGCAAGCCAGAGGCAGCCGCTGTCCTTCCCTCTACGTTGCTTTTATAAATATACCAGAGAAGGCATCCTTTGCTGCTGCGGTAGAGCAAATTAAGGCCTTCATCCATTTCCATTCTAGCATTAAATAGACTCTAAGAGCACGAAGGGTTTATGAGTAGCCTAACCGTGAGATGAGATGTGTGGTGCTTGTTAAGCACAATGGCCAAGAACGCTGCCTTCTTTAGGATTCCAAACACACATCTTGGAAACCTGAGTATTAAATGCAGAAGGAATTAACACCGAGGATCATTTCGCACATTAAACAGCAGCAAACCTCAGATTGCCACATAACATACATTCCTCAGAGGGCTGTTGACAGTCACAGCTCCCTAATGAATGAACGTCTCTGCTATGTGTATTTGTGGCACTCATCCTCTTAATATTTAGGAACACACTTTATCTTAGATGTACATTTTAAAGTGTAACATTTGAAGTGGCTCTGAAACATTATTTGCCAGCTATGAACTTACGGTAATTGGGACCTTTTTCATGCAAGTGTAAAGCTGAGCTTAGGGAACTTGGCACCAATCCTCACATTGTATGTCGGTATTCTCTGGTCCATACTTGTATGAAAGCATGTGTTTTGTAATGCGGAAACTGCTGGTTGGCCCAGTGCACACTGAAGAGCCAGTTCCTGTTATCAGCCTCTCAATGAATGCATTCATGGGGGGAAACCCTACATTACAAAAAATATTTTATATAAGTACAGATACGCACGTGACAAAAATAGCTATGACTGGTACTCAGCATGACAGATTGTGGCACATCCATATTTTACTGAAGGTGGCATATTAGTGTACAAATTAATACAAATGAGATATATTCATGGAGCCTAAGGCTGTCAGTGGTTACAAGTTATAGTGGCTATGACTATCATATCTGAGGCAGTATGCCTCTTAATACCAGTTGCTTGCAATTATGAGTGAGGGGGCACTATTGTGCTCAAGTCCTGACTGTGGGCTTCCCAAAGACATCTGGCTGGTCACTGTGAGAAAAGGGATGCTGGACTAGATGGGCCTTTGGTCTGATCTAATAGTCCTGTGAGCAAAATCCTGGAATTCTTGGACTCTAGTGGTTGACTATGGGGACGTGGGTGGTGCTGTGGGTAAAAGCCTCAGCGCCTAGGGCTTGCCGATCGAAAGGTCGGCGGTTCGAATCCCCGCGGCGGGGTGCACTCCCGTTGTTCGGTCCCAGCGCCTGCCAACCTAGCAGTTTGAAAGCACTCCCGGGTGCAAGTAGATAAATAGGGACCGCTTACTGGCGGGAAGGTAAAAGGCGTTTCCGTGTGCGGCTCTGGCTCGCCAGAGCAGCGATGTCACGCTGGCCACGTGACCCAGAAGTGTCTGCGGACAGCGCTGGCTCCCGGCCTCTAGAGTGAGATGGGCGCACAACCCTAGAGTCTGTCAAGACTGGCCAGTACGGGCAGGGGTACCTTTACCTTTACCTTAGTGGTTGACTAGTTACTAGGTGAATTAGGGCCACATGCATAGTGGTAGAAAATTCTTAGTAGCATGTTCACAAGAGAGAACTATACTAATAGGTCTAGAAGAAACTAGAAGAAAAAGACACAAGTTTCTCCATCTCTCACAGCACAGCTTCATTAATGAAAATGGCTGAACTGTGAAGGCCAGCTTTTTCAGTAGGTGGTGCTATGTACATGCAGAACTCTTTACTGTAGTGCAGGGGTGGCAAACTCTTAGCCTATAGGCCACAGATAGCCTCTCCAAAATCTTTTTGTGACCTCCAAGATGCTTTTTTTTTTTTTTAAGTGGATTAGGAGAGCTGGAAAAAAATTCACATCAGGCAACCAATGTGCCCCTTTGACCTCTGACAAGTGTATGCTTGTAGATCAGAAAGAGGGAACACATTTGATCTCTCCATAGGTAGAGCAACTGTGAACAACAAAACAATCTTTCTTGAGGTTTGGAAGGATTGAACATGCAGCCAAGGTAGGACGACAGAAAATGAATACTACAGCCAGACTGTTTTAATACACTGGCCTGGTTTCAGCTGATCTTCTTTTATACAAGCAATACAGCTTCACATTGGTAATAACACACAGTGAGCATAATGATGCTTTGTTCCCATTTCTCACTGAAGGGAAATGGGTCATTCAGTTGCTTCCTCCATCTTCTACTCACCCTTATTGGACTTTCAACAGCTATTAGTTTTTCTGCTGTTTTGTGTACCACAAAAAGGTGATACAACCATCTGCTGTATGCTTAAAAGGCTGCACTGGATGACTGGATGGAATGCATGACTGAATAACTACTACCTTACAGTCACCGTTACAGTAATTAAATTGACAACATTGCTTTAAAAATGTTTAAAGGTGTTGCTCCAGTAAGAGGAAAAACTATTAATACTTCCTAAATTGTTCAAACGAGAAGACCCTGATTCTAAGAAAAGTAAGATGTTTCATTTTAACTGTACTTTCCTTAAGGGCATGATTCCTTATGTCCCAACTGGCTTCTAAATGAAATTCTGCCTGATACTCATATTTTTATGCAAGTCATTTTGTTGCAAAAGAGTCCACTTTGCTTTACGTTTCTGGGGAGCACCTACAATGTACTGAAAGCCATTTTGTAAAAGAAAACAGCTGGTTTAACATCCATTTTTCAATAAATTGAGAACGTGGTAGTGATTTGAAGCAGAGGGTGCAGTAATCAGCACAATAAAAATACAGGTGGTCTCCAGACCGACAAATTCAATGCAAATCAGAATTGTTCACTTGCAGGATGTATGCTCCTATTTGTACATGAATACTGAGAGGGGTTATAAAATGGCTAAGTACTTACTAAAGATGAGTTATAGTAGAAAGCACTCTGAAAACAAATGTGAGTTGCTGTGGCATTACCAGAAGCAAATGCAGTATCTGAAATGAGGGAATAGATGGGAAAAACAGCAAGCAACAGAGTGTCATTATACAAGTTTATTGTGTATCCGTACTAAGGATGTGCTTGTTTGTTATGAGATGCCTGAACTGGCAAAGCAATTTTTATGCGATACATGGCCTCGTCTAATAAAAAAAATAAGTTACAGCAGAGTTCATCTAGTATGATCAGAGGGACGGAATATATTTTCTTATAAGTAAGGGTTTGAGAATCTGTAACATTTTACTTTAGATGGTTATAAAATCACCAGTAGACATTAATGAGAATTATAAGACCATGAGAGTTAGGACATTAAATCACTCAAAATGAAAATATTCAGTCATAACCACCATATTTGAAAAAATACTGCCTCGTGCAATTAAGCAATGTTGTGATGGCCTATTATAATTGCTTTAATACAAAACATGGAGGACCGATACATCAGTGGCTACTAGCAGAGGTAGCTTGTACGTAGCCCTGTCAAAGTCTATATTTAGAAATGTTATACCCATTTCTAATAGGCTGTGATGAAAGACAAAGGAGGAAATATCACCATCTTGCTTCACTTATGTACTTCTTTGTGGCATTGGAATAGCCATTGTCAGAACAGAAAATGCCAAGGCTTAATGAATCACTGGACTGAAATAATCCAGCATACAGACAGGGAAAGGTAAGTGTGTAAGTGTATATGCGACCACACTCACACCAAGTATTCCAACTGCTTCTTCGCATGCGCGACCGCCGAAACCCGGAAGTAACCCGTTCTGGGACTTCTGGGTTTCAGCGGTCCGCAACCCAAAAAAAGCAACCTGAAACGTCTGTAACCCGAGGTATGACTGTACTAGCTTTCCAGAAAGGCCTAGACAGAACTCATCCTTAGTCTGACAAAATTACCATTCATGAAAGGAAGTAAAACTCACACACAGATAGGAAATGTGATCAGCAAGAGGTTAATTTAAGTTAAGAGAGGGTGACAAGGAAAAATAAAGAACCAAGGACAGATTACAAGGTGTACCTACGAACACTAGGCCACTGTTTTATACATATGGGCATAGCCAAGGGGAGGGGCAGCTGCTCCCCTAAATCAATAAACTTCAATTTATATCTGAGGTTCTGCCCCCCCTAACAAAAGACTGCTCCCCGCTAACAAAAATCCTGGCTATGCCCATGTTTATACAATTAAGAATTTTTTTCTATCTTCTAGTCTTGGCAGTCAGAGCAGTCCTCCTTCTCATATTCTAGAATTCATGTACCCACCTAGCCAGTCATGTGCAAGCAAAAACAAGAATGACACAGAAAATTCTTCTCAAACAGTTTATTAGCAAATAAACAAAGGGAGGTACCACACTTGGCATATACAAAATGACTTCTTGTCTGTGTGTCTGTGCAATTAAAACGGCATTAGGTTCCCCAGTGGGACAAAAAGAAACCACACACAAAAGGAAGAAAATTCCTTAATACATACTCGCTTGTTCCAAACTTAACAAAACTTTCATTTTTAAATCCACTACACAAACTCCGTGATCAGAAAAGCAACACGTGCTTCTGTTTTTAAACCATTAAAGTAAAAGCCATAATTTTCTACAGAGTACAACACAATTTCACACAAAAAGGACATTTTGCAAATCAAACAAGAAAAAAGGAACAGCTCAAACAAGGAAAGAAAAGCATTGCTACAACAGAATCACAAATTTGAGTTGATTAAATCCTGTTACTGCAGAACAGACTCTACATTTGGTCATAGTGGCAATTTGTTTTCTTGTCACATTTGTGAATCACTTTACATTGTTTTCTAGTAGAAAAGCCCAAAAAACTGTACAAAACCCCTAGTGTTAAATACAATGTGTGTACCAATAAAAAAAGCCCACAGGTTTGTTTCCAAAATGTAAATTTTCTTTTTTTTTAAATTATTCACAAAAAGCAGCCAGAAATAAAAGGCAGCTGCTGCGTTACTGTCTCAAATTCATTAAAACCACCACAGAATAATTAAAACAACCAAAGAAAGAAAGGAAAGAAGAAAAGGAACATCCAACGTTTGGCATTTTGGTTTTCTCCAGAGATTTTTGTTTCCACAGGCTCCCCCAGAGTTCCTCATGAAACTATACGCGCATTGTAAAGAAATGTATTGGCAAAATTAATCAATACACTGCAGGGTCTCACATTCCCTGCCATCAGACATCCCTGTGCATTGCGACTGTGAGCCTAAGAGCAACTATCTCACAGCTGTATACCCAGATATTGCAATCATCTCTTTGCAAGCAACTCTCACCCTCAAAAGTTGAAGACCACAAGGTTGAGGGAACAGCTACCTATGCATATTTATCTAACAAGCATGGAGAAATATTACCCACCCAACAATGGAGCAGAATTTTTTTTTGTCCTAAAGACTAGAACACTCCATATGGCCTAGAGACAGGTCTCCTAAACATCCCTACTCTATGAAGTTTTGCTCACATTCCTTTCTCCTGTCTGAAGTTCCTTTATAGCTTCCCCAACCCTTTGCCCCTTGTGATTAGGCACCTACCACAGGAGTTTCTTGCAGGTGCTGTGAAACCCAGTACTAAGTCTCAGCTTCTACAGTAGGTCGTTTATGCAGGAAGGCTGACGCATGCTTCCCAGAGAAGGATAATCCGTGCTATTTCTTCATCAGGCCAGAAAAAAAGAAAGAAAGACTGCATGACTCCTTACCCAATTTAAGAACTTAAAAAAAAAAATCTCTGTAGAGATCATCCCCCAGCTAAGGCCCCTGAGAAAAGGAGCCGGGGTTGGTACCCTGTTCAGGCAACAGCTATTAGGCTGTTATATTGTGCTTGTCGCTTGGGGAAAGAGTCAGCAGTTCTGTGCCTAAACTTACAGATTCCTTCTATGGGATATGCAGAACATGATACTTCAAGTGTAAAGACTGGAGAGCAATCAAGCTTCCATCCACTGAGCTTTAATGGTGCTAAACCTCACAAAGCAAGCCACATATTAAACAAGAGGTACAAATTAAGGCTACCCCAAAAGAGCTTTCGCTCCAATGGATCTTAGAAGCAATATTACTGCAAACACCCCACACCTTTCCTTCTATCCCTGCCGCCGCCACCACCACCTGAACAGTGCAATCAAGCCCCCTGAGACCTTTCAATAGCTGTGATGATAGAGCAAGGTGCAGATATCGTGTAAAGCAGTCTAAATGCACAGGAGATGTCATTACGTGACATATGACCACAAGTCTGGCATCCAAAAAAGGATAGATCTGAAACCTATTGAATTACTCAGTTTTTTGCACAAACTATAGAAAACAGAGGTGAAGGGTGTTTATATACACAAGGTTGTGAAGAACACAGCAGGAAACATGCAAAACGTTTACAAGGGCGTTATTTGAGTTTTTAAAGGGGAAAAAAATCTCACATTTTAATGAGGATACTGTAGTTACAAAAAACTAAGCATGCTAGGGTTTAACAAAATACAACATCAACTTTGATTAAATTTCACTGCAGACAAAGGCTGATAATCACACAGGAAGGAAAAAAACAGTAAGTGCCAGGGCAAAAATGCAGCTACAATCAGGAGAAAGTGTAGTTCAAGTGTTTTCTGCTGAGGCTACTCAAGTCAAAGAATACATGCTGTCTCCTCAAGCACAGAAAATAGATTCAGCAAAATGTGACCAGAAGCCTCCTAAATTTTTAAAGTCGCATCATTTTACCTTTTCCTTCAAAGATTTGTTTTAAAACTAAGCACACAGAAAAAACTAAGCCTAGAAAGTGATTGGCTGTATGTTCACAGAAATACAATACTCCACGAGGTATGCTAGCAAGGCTGCTCTGAAGACAGTTACAAAGAATCAGAATCACAAAATCAAGTGGTTATCTTACGAAGTTCTAGAAAAATAGAATTCTTTTATATTCAAATGCAAGTTTAAATATTCCCCTTCAGCAGTCTTTCTAGCAAAACCAATTTGGCAGCACAAAAAAGAAAAAAAAAGAAAAGAAAAGAAACAAACATAATAAAAATACACATCAGCATCAAAAAGTCAACACAAGGTCAAAGGTGAGAGTTCAAGCATCAGAGAAGCTGAAGAGACAAGGATTTGGACGATGTACTTGAACGCCACATCGACATGCTTTAGGCACAACGATGAACAAACGGCAGGAATCTAGAAAAAAAACAAACCAGAAAGAAGGAGACCCACTGAGTTACACAGAGCAGTACATCCAAACAGAGAGAGAAAGAGAGTGAGAGTGAGAAAGAGAGAACAAGAATGGGCACTGTACAATGAGACCTCTTGGGGAGGGGAGTTGACAGGGAAGGGCAGCACATGCCAACAACAAACAAGTAAAAGTTGAAGTGCATAAGACACCAAATAAATATCAAAACGACCAGAAACTAGATAGAAGTAGAGGCCTGGGATTTCCTTTAGACACTAGCTACAGAATGGACTATGGCTTAGTGGCATTACAGACAGCTGTGCAGTCACCACAGCCCTGAGCCAGTGCTCCTGCTACCTCTGCTTGAGGAAGACAACACAGAACTCCTCCTGTTAGATCTTGAATCCATAAAATGTGGTTCCAGGGTGATTTTAAGAGATGGGGGACACAGGAGGAACCACTGGGGTTGATGGTTGATTATACTTTCTTCTTTCCTATCATGCGACATACATAGGCAGTAGTAGCCTAAGAAATCCATCCTCTGTTTCAGCTATTCTTTAGGAAACAAGGATACTGGCTGTTGGTTTTAGAACCAAAAAATGACATAAGATACATAAATAGAAGTGAAACCCTTTGAAATAGGAAGGAATTAAGACTTTATTGCAAGTCAAGACTTGCCTCAGCTGAGCCCTTTTTATTTAATACCTACAAATAAACGTTTGCAACTTTTTCAATAAATAAATCCTTCTCCCTGACTTTGTGAGGTGGAATTCTGGGCTCTCATAAATTCTACAGTCACTGTTACCAGTTTGAGTGGAAGGAATTTTGTCTGAGTATCTTGACATTTTCTCAGAATTGATAGAATCTCCAATAAGGGCACAACACAAGAGATGTGATTTGCATGACAAATACATTTAAGCATTCTGTTAATGACATGGAAAACTGTCTGAGGCAGCATGTGATTACTGGAAAAAGCAGGCTTGTTAGGTTTATTGTAACTTTTATTCCAATTACAATTAAAGGCATATAATATTCTGATTTAAAACATACGGTTGCATTTCATTTCAGTGTTAAAAAGTTTATTTTTCTATTTGTGTGTGTGAATTCCCAAATGAAAACTGAGCTTCTGTTTACAAGTGCTAAGCTATTCTACTGTCTTAGATTTTTTATCTTAACATGTACATCAAGCAGAATCTGAAAAGTAGATTCTCCCCCCCCCCCCGGACACACTCACAAGGCTGAAGGATATACATATATTTACTCAAGTTAAAATGTTACAGAGGAAATGCACACTATTGTGAGGCAAATTCATCAGCAGTTGTTGAGAGCCTTTTTTTAATTACAAGAATAAGGCTTTTCTTTGGGGGGGGTATGCCTCAGGAATGCCAAAGTCAGCCCAAAATACTTTTCAGTTCAACGTTTCTTCTTTTATTGATTACAGATTTGTCTCTGCATGTTACCAGACACCCAATTTATTCTGAGAACTTGTTTTAATCTAAAATACATCTATGATTGTTTTAGGTTAAATACAACTTAAGTTGATACATAGCAGCCTGTATTTCTTAATAAAGAACAACTAAAATTGGCTGTGCTTCCCAATTTGATCCCTTTGTCATATTGGATCAAACATAGATAATAATCTGGTCTCCTACAGAGGGATAGTAAAAAGGTAACATTCAGGGTTTTATGTCAAAGGATCTGTTCAAACTTGGAAAAGAAAAAGGATGGAGGAAATTAAAAACTGTGCAGAACAACCCACAATGTGACAAATAGGCCGTAATCCTACAAGTGGAAAGCTGAATTTGTGTGCACGATTTCCTTGCCAATAGAGAACCTACTCCAGAGACTTAGTTTTATTACTTGTTTTGAAAAGCATGAATGGGCAGATCAGAATTAAACTGAGGGAGGGGAGAGGAATATGGGGTTAAATTCCTCTAGTTAAAAGTAATTCAGAGCACCAGCAGGGAAGGCGCAGCAACTTTGCCAATACACACCAGAGTCCTGATTTCTGGAATTTAACCTGGAAAGTTTACTTTGGCAATTCTCAGGTGGGATGAGAGCACTCACATAAATCACACTTCTCAGATTATAAAACCATCTATACCCACTTGCTGTCATGTTAATTTAACAGGAGGTGATTTGCCTCACAGTTTCCATGATGAGAGCATATATGCTGTTTAGGAATATTATGGACATTAAATAAAAGGGTGAGCGAACAGATAATTCACAGAAAACTAATTTGGGTAGTCAAAACAAAAACGTAACTGAGGGAGCAGGGGAGAGGAAGTACTGGGAGAAGTGACTATAGAGAAACTTGAGCACAGCTTTCCCTCTCCGCTAGTTCACAGCATTAATTCTTTTCCTATTTAGCAGCTTTTCCAACTGCAGACAGGTCACTGAAAGTCAGTAGTTTCAATCATGCACATTGCTGTATGTATGTGTAACACAATCACATTCAGGATTATGCAAAACCCTGTTTTTTCCAGTGAAATAATTTAGATAATAAATATTCTCCACCCTGGAGCAGTATAAAACTTCTATAAAAATAGAAACAACATTCTTGGTTATATCAGGTTGCAAATGGAGCAGCTGCTCCCAACCATGACACCCGCCCCCCGAAAAGTATATTATTTATTTTTTTTAAAAAAATCCCATGACAACTCTGGAAGCCTCAACACTCCAATACTCCCCCCCCCACTCAGAATATCAGGACACAACTTTTCCTAGTGCACAAAATTCAAATGTATACAGTTCACCTAAATGTATGCATATGCTTCTGAATAGACCCAAATACTGAACACAGAAGGGTACCATATGCCAGCATAAATGGGAAATTTGGCAATCTGACCATTCAACCTTTTTTGCCACCATTCTGTGTGCTTTATAATACTGACAGTTTGCATCAACAATACTTCCAAATTCACAAGAAAAATATTACTTGAACCTGAGAAGGAAGGCCCAATACATCTTATACTTCTGAGGTTTGATACACCAGGGGACCCAGTCCCTGGTTATGTTTGATTTCCAAGTTTCTGGCACATTCTTAAATGGCATTTCAGGCTCAACAAGCCTTGTGGCTCTTCCTGACAGAGTGAACTGAAAGCCTTTTAAAAAAGCAACCTGCTCCCTGCTCCCCTAAACACGATTCCCAAACACAAAATTTGTGGATTGACTGGGGTGCTGTGAAAAAAACATAATAATAAAATGGGGCCAAAGAGACGAATAGACTGAGGACACAGGAATGCAGTGAATCTATATATAACACCGTTCATTTCCTCACAGATAGAGGTGGCTTTTTGTAGCTTTAGAGCTAGCTTCTACACTGACTTCTTGCCGTGGCTGAGGCCAGAATGTCAAAGTTCCCTTTAGTCCCATGTCATCAGTGTGTACAAAAAAAACAAACCACCCTTTAACATTTTGGCAAATTCATATGTGTGGAAAAAAATAAGTGTGCATTAGAAGGGGAAGAATTCTGAGTTGTGAGTTAAAATATATTGGGTGATAAACAATAGCAGGATCAAGATCCTGTGCAGCAGATTCAGCCCTTTGTGTTTTATATTGGCCCATGCACTCAAAGGAAAACTGCAATGTAGCAAAACAGCAACATACGAAAAATCAAACTATATAAGCAAAAAATTTGATCTTTGGGGCAGTATTATTCTGAATGTTCAGCTAAAGAGTGTGCGCAAAAAAGCAGAATGTCAGGAATCAAAGAACCATGAGCTTATTTAGAAGCCATCTGTCAGTTTAGTACTTAGGATTTAAATAGTGCTTTATGAACACTGATTCTAGTAATATCTTTATGTACAAGCTGTAAAACTGGGGCAGAAGCCGCAAAGGAAATTCAATCAAGACATACAGAATTTGCAGCAGATCGTGAGCAAATTGTGGAGCTAAGATGTATACCTCCATTATAAATTGCCTAGTTTCCATTAAACAACAAATACTGGAAAACTGGAAGTATCCAATTTTTAAAGGTTGTTTTGGCTGGATTGTAAATGTTTGCTCTAGAAACACAATTGGATCATTTTGTAAGCTGACCACACACTCATAATTACTGCAGTTTTCCTTTAATACATGAATCTGTTTGCCCAATTACTTTTCTCCCACCCTAGTGACTGATTCAGTATAACATTCTCCCATAAGGCATTAATTAAGTAAAGCTGGGCAAATGAGGATTTGGCAATGTTCCTTGAGGGTCTGTTCACTAACCAGCCACCAAGTGATTTGGATTCAGATTCTCTCCCTCCCTCTTTTCATGAATATAACTTGGGGCCTGGCAATAGGTCTTTTCTCCTTCTTAAGTCTAAGTCATGCAATGTCAGTTCCAATTGCACCTGCTATCTCCCCATCTCCCCAAGGTGGCTGGCATTGGTCCTTCTCAAAACACACTGGTTACAAACACAGCAAACTTAAAAAAATAATAATCAGCGATATGGCACCTAAACTCCAAAGTAAAACACTGGAAACAGAATCACAAACTCGTCCTCCATCCGAAGAATTCCCAGTAGAGGCTGCAGCCGAGTCTTCAGGGGAAGATGTGCCAGTTAGAATGACATCAATCAGCTTCTGTGACTGTAAAAATACAGCCTTAAAGAGTTTTTGAATCACCAGGCACACTCCTCCCCAACTTACCAGAAGATCCTTCTCACTCCAGTTCCAGAGGGGAGGGGCGCTCAGTATGGCTTGCTGTCATTCTTAGAGCGCTTGAGCTGTACTTTCAGTCGCTTCATGCCAATTTGAAATCCATTCATTGACTGGATGGCAGCCTGTGCAGAGACTGGATTGTCATAACTTACAAAACCTAAGAAAAGGAAAACATACATTTAAAACATTTATGGTCAGACTGGAATGGGAATAACCCATTCTGTTTTTGTATCCTGACATCATCATCTGTGCTTGCATTGGTACTGCAACCATGAAGTGTATGAACTGTTCATAGGTTTAGAGAATATAAGAGGGCTACGAATTTTTTTTAATTAAAAAAATCACAAGGGAGGCCAGTTTCCTTATGACTCAAACGAAAGAGTACGCAGGTGCTTTTCTGAGCTATAGTAAATGACTTCTTACATAACAGTGATATTTTATGTGAAGTGTAAGTTGCAGAGTTTGAAGTTCTGCTCCAGCTGCTTCTAAACATTAAGTTCAGTACAGTATTAGCCCAGTACAGCCAGGGATTGTGACCGCCAGACAGGGTGCTGTGTTAAGGAGAGCTGAGATGACTAGTGGCAGACAGCTGGTAAAACGTAAAGTGTTAGCGAGTATAAATAGGGAAACGGCTGAAGTCAGTACAATGCTAAAGGCTACAACCAAGTAGAGTGTGTTTGGAGATTGAACAAATAGGCATTTTAATCACTAAATTGCAGAGCATAGGAGGATTCTGTCAAGTTCCCTTCTGCTGAATTTAAAATTCTGTTCCCAGGAAGGCAAAAACACATCAACACTAAATATACCTGCCTGCAATTATATACCCAGTTAAATACATACAAGTCACACCAATGTCAATGGGAATTGCGTAGAACTTTGTAAGTAGTCAGGACTCAAAGCCACAAGATTATAAGATAATGTTAAGCCAATAGTGCACTGCATTAGAAAACTATCTGTTTATTACGTAGAGTGAGGTGTGAGTGCGAGTGAGATATGGTGGTGGGGTCTATTTTCCCTTTTGGAAGCAGCCCTTGGTGCCTCCTGGAGTGCCATTCTGAAAGGCCTCTGACGGACTACTGTGGGATGGAAGGAACTGAAAAGCTCTGTGCAAACACAGAACACCATATCCTGATCCAAAAGGGTTTCATAAACCTTGTTTTGCTACCTACCTAGGTCTGGAAAAAGCTAGGAATTGTGTTGAAAATGCCAAAAAGAGGACCTGTCTGATAGCAAAGAAATTCTAGTATTAAGAAGGTAATTGAAAGGGTAACTAAGATAAAGTTTTGATGTCATACGAAACATGTGCCAATTATTAACTATTCTTTTCATGTTTACTTCTGCTATAATAAGTTATGTTACATACTGGAGGGTATCATCTGCCTCCACAATGAATCTACACATAAGCCACTGTGTCAAAACAATCTACATTAGAACAGAAGGAGGGAGGCAATGATGTGATAAGTTGGTTCAAAATCGGCAGAACAAGACTCATACATCTACAAAAGGTGTTTCATGTGTTTGAAATAAGTTAAACACATGAAGAAATATTGGGATGGGTTGTCAAGCATAGGTCAGGCCAAGCTTTATGGTTCGTGGGCTGCATTCCCACTGGTGAGTATGAAGCTGCACAGGCTTGTCCTCATTACCAAAGATATCAATGAACTGGTGAATATCAAGTTATCAAAGAAGTTTCATCAGATATTACTTCATGAAGGGGCAAAATCCTACAAGGTAGCAAAACAAATCTTCATGGTCTGAATCTCATTAAGCTAGGTTTTGAGAGATACAAGTGGCTCATGTGATTCTATCATGCTCACACACCAGTGAAGAGCTATGCACACAAAAGTTTCTTTCATATTATTTTATCTTAAGGAAAGGAATTAAGAACATTTCTGCAAAATATACCCAACATACCAAAACATTTGCTCAGATTAGTCTGCTTGTCAATGAAAACCTTGGCGGAGACAACATTCCCAAAAGGCATGAACATCTGCAGCAAATCTTGGTCCCCAAACTCCTGGGGGAGGTGGTAGATGAACAGATTGGCTCCCTCTGGACCTTGAAAATATCCATTTAGAGAAAAATTCAAAGAAAGCACAACTCTTTGGCTATTAATATTGAAGCAGAGATCAAAACCCATTCAGTTCTCAAGAGCTAGGGATGGTTCCAGAGTACTAAGAGTCATTCAACTCAAACTTGGCTCTGTCAGTGAAAAATCTGTCCACTTCCTGCCAAAAAGCTGCAGCTTTTAAAAGTGTGTCTTCTCAGTCTTAGTTTCTAAATCATGTCTTCAGCAGGTGGGGGGGGGGGGGAAATCTCACAACTTCATACAAATGTGAAATGAATCTTTACAGCTAATTATGTGGGCACAAAACTAGCTTCAAAGTTCCTATACCTTTCAAAGCCATCAATGATGCATTTACCATGAGCACACCAATGTGCTCTCTACATTCTCAATAAAGTCAGTGTCCTACCACCTTACTAGACTATTGTACAGACAGAATTTATTGTGTATGAAATGCACCGCTTGAAATATGAAAACCATTCCCCACTTTCCCAGGAATCTGGAACTGTTAAAGATTCTAAAAGAAGGGATAAAAACAAAATTTATGAAGGTTTTCAAAATTAAATGCAGCAGTGAAAGGAATATATATATATATATAGAGAGAGTGTGTGTACCTGGATGCGTAACAATAGCCAAAGGCTACTAGAAACAGTCTATGTACATTAGCCATTTGAGGCCAGGGAGCCAAAATATTTGATATTTTAACATAATGTTTGTCTGTAGTTTCTATTGTTTCTCTCTCTTGCAAAAGTACAGGACTCTAGCTCTTAGAGAACCAACCTTCCCGCCACTGTCTTTCACCTACCTTCCTTTTGACTTCCAGCTGCACCAATACTCTGCTGCGTTAACAGACTCTGGTTGTAAAGTGTGGGCAAAGCTGCAGCGGCATATTGCTGGATCCCAGAGTAAGCCTGAGATAGGGCCTCCATAGTGCTCCCTGTGCCATTTGAGAGACCACCACTGCCTAGTCCACCATTTAAGGCTGCCATTCCTAAGCAGAAAATTTGAATAAATGTCAGTGACTGATTTGTCAACCAGTTTTAAAATCATATGTTATTATTAAGGGAAGCTGAGAGGCAACCGGAACAAAGGGCTCATTCTTTTCTTCATGCTAAACATACCTGCTAAAGAGCCAACGTTGAGGCCTGCAGTAGCCCCTGCCAGTGTTTGCAGTGCTCCAAGAGAAGCCATTGGGTTAACAGAGGAGCTGCTACTGGAACTGGGTGATGATCCTGCTATTAAAATGAAAGCATTAGACACCAATAGCTGCTTCCAACACAATCACATCTTACTACTTTCTCCAAAATGTGCACTAAAAATGTTGCATCAAAGGCTTCAGTAATTTATACCAAGGATAGTTAAAATACCAAAACTTAAAATTCCCCGATTGTGTACAGCAGTGTATTTTTATACAAAATGGAAGCCCTGGGATCTGACCAGCTGTAAACTTGTATGACCCTAGAAAATTCAGATTTAATCATGTTTCACTTTATTGTATGGAACTCTGAGCATATTAGTACATGCTAATCTTGGGGGTGCAAACCTCAAAGCCTGTTTCACTGGTAACTTTGTGCCTAGACACTAAGGCAGGCAGGGGTCCACAAATGTTAGCATAGTTTACAAGCCAGCCATTATTTGAGGTCATCACCAATTTCCTCCTCAGAATCTCTGAAATGAACAGATGCCTTGGGAGATGGAGTCTCTCTCATTTGTATGGTGTATGGAGAAAATAAAAAACCAGCAGGACTGCTGAGAAGGGACCTTTGTTGTTTGGTAACCTGCTTGGAAACCACAGTAGAAATGAGACCTCTGGGTAGGGACCTGCACAGTATTGGGTGCCTTGCTCAACAGAGGCTGGGAACACTTTCCCTGATCAACTGGCAGCTAGACATGTTGATGCATGCACAATGGAAGCTGATCTGACATGAATTTGTACCATGCTGCATTACTGACATTTTAGTTCTTCTACTACCTCAGAACTGTTGACTGCTCAGTAGTTGATCATGATATACCCAATCAGTTCCCAAGTACTTCCCCTTTCCTACACTCTAGCACAGAGGTGGGGGATGTCTGGTCCAGGACCAATGTGGTCGTCCAGGCCTCTCTATCAGGCTCTTCGGGCTCTTCACAGGCCACAGCCCTTCAAAGCCTTGCTCCTCACCCCCCTCTAGTTCTTCTGGCCTGGCTGGAATGTGTCCTTAAACTGTAATAATACCTCTTGCTTGACTGGATGGAGAGATGCATGTGTCAAAACATCTGACCTTTTGCGTGACTGGACTGTAGCCTACTGTACAAAGGTAAAGAGTCACATCCATTATCCCACTCATCACTGCTTTGCAGGCCCCAGAAGGCTGCCCATGAGAGATTGTGACCCTCAGGTTGAAAAACGTTTCCCACTCCTACTCTGGCATCGGACTTGCTAGATACTGGGACCAATTTAGTTTCCATTCTTTCTCATGAAGTCTTTCCCATGAAGTCCTTAAATGAAATCCCTTAATTTCCTTCAAAGTCACCATTCATTTCCATGTATCAAAGTACAGCACTGCACTTAGGAAATGGCAATACGTGGCCTGGTGTGCCTGCATCTGTGATCAGAATGCAAATTATCTTCTCCCAACTAATTATGACATGCAACCCTTCTCTCAATTCCACTTGACCCCGCAATATTCTAAAGCAAGTTGAAAATTGGAGAATCACAACACAGGAGAGAAGGTCAACTATATTCTGAAAAAGAACACCTTCTTGTGGAAGATGGCTTCGATGTTTGAGGACTACTTCACATGTTAAGCAGAAATGTATTTTATTTACAGATGCAACATACACCCACTTCTATCACATATGCTGAAGACACCTACACTGATTTGTTTCATGTTGTGTAAACAGCAGGAATGTGTTTTGGGGAGGCAGGACTAATCAAGTCTCCCCACAAAAAAGCTTATGATTTAATGAGTAGCCGGCTCATTGTCATTTGGCCTTAAGATATGCAAAACTGTATTATACCAAGACATGGCTCTCTTACCTGAACTGGTGAGCACACTTAAAGGGCTGTTAGAAGAATTGAGTGCAGTGGTACCACTTGGTGTGCTCTGAGCTGCGCTGGCTGCAGCTGCTAATGCAGCTAGGTTCTGTAACTGCATTGCATTCAATCCTGCAACACATCAATGAATAGCGTTTCTGTTCTGGTACCACTAAGCACTAAATCACTAGTGAATGCAACAGCATTCAGAAGTTGCTTTATGGAGGAGAGTGAAGCCTAACATTCTCAAGCACCACAACCTCCTGATGCAAGATTTTTAAAAAAATAATATTCTGACCTACAGGGCAACAACGTAAGGAGAGCCTGCTGGATCAGACCAATGACCATTTCATCCGGCATCCTGTTATTACAGTGGCCAACCAGGTGGTTGTGAGTAACCTGCAAGCAGGACCGGAGCGCAAACACCACTTTCCTCTCATGCAATTTCCAGCAAGTGGAATTCAGTATACTGCTTCTGACCATGGAGGCAGAATACAGCCATCATGGCTAGTAGTCATTGAAAGCCCTATCTTGCATGAATCTGTCTAATCCTCTTTTATAGTCATCCAAGTTGGTGGCCATTACTACTTCCTGTGGGAGTGAGTTACATACAGTGGTGCCTCGCAAGACGAAAAGAATCCGTTCCGCGATTCTCTTTGTCTAGCGGTTTTTTCGTCTTGTGAAGCAACCCCATTAGCGGCTAAGAGGATTAGCGCTATTAGAGATTTAGCGGCTTAGCGGCTATTAAAGGATTAGCGGCTAAGCTGCTAGAAGGCTATTAGTGGCTTAGCGCCTTTGAAAAGGGGGGGGCGGGGGAGAAATGGCGAGACTCGCAAGACGTTTTCGTCTTGCGAAGCAAGCCCATAGGGAAATTCGTCTTGCGAAGCGCATCGCAAACGGAAAACCCTTTCGTCTAGCGGGTTTTCTGTCTTGCGAGGCATTCGTCTTGCGGGGCACCACTGTATTTTAACTATGTGCTATGTAAGCCTGGCGCAAGCAAATCAGGATGAATTGTGGGCACCACAATTTAAGGAGGATACTGACAAGCTAGATCACGTGAAGAGGGTGACCAAGATGATAAAGGGTCTGGAAACCAAGCATTATGAGGGCGTTGGGAATGTTTAGCTTGGTAAGAGGAGAATGTGAGAAGATATGACAGCCATCTTCAAATATCTAATGGCCAGTTACATGGAAGATAGAACAAGCTTAGGAACTGAACCAATGGATTCAAGTGAAAAGAAACAAAATTCCACCTAAACATCACGAAAAGCTTTCTGATGGTAAGAGCTATTCTACAGTAGGACAGACTCTCACAAGAGTTGGTGGACTCTTTCTCCTTGGAAGTTTTTAAGCAGCAGTTGGGTGACCATCTGTCATATATGATCTAGTTAAGATTCCTGCATTGCGAGGGGTTGGACTAGATGACCCTTGGTGTTCCTTCCAACTCTACAATTCTATGATTCCATAACCTCTCCAGGGACTTAACCTAAATGGTGCAGGAGTTCTTGATCATGCTGTCCTACATTTCCCAGTTACAACTGCCAATGACTTGAAATCCCTGTGAATGCAGCATGTTAAAGAGGGACTCTGTAGTACAGTGGTACCTCTGGATATGAATGGGATCCGTTCCGGAGCCCCGTTCGCATTCTGAAGTAAACATAAAACGACATTTTGAGTGTCTGCGCAAGCGGCGAAACCCGGAAGTAACACACTCCGTTACTTCCGGGTGGCCGTGGAGTACAACCCGAAAATACTTAACTTGAAGCTACTTCAACCCGAGGTATGACTGTATCTTGTCTGGAAAAAGCAGAATTCAAATTATTCCGATTCATAGAATTGCAGAGTTGGAAGGGATCCTAAGGGACATATAGTCCAACCACTGTTCAAGCAGCACACAAAGCAATAGCATTCTCAAATACCATTAAAAGGGTGAAATCTCACTGCCCACACAACTGCATGCAAAATGTTCTCTCTCAGTTCATGGCTAATGTGCCACTGATTGTGTAATTGCAAAAATGCCTCACACCACAGAAAACACTACGCACATACTAAACACAGAAATAATGAAGAAGCAGTGCAAAGAGAAGAGTAAAAATGCTGACCACAGCTGTATGTTCTTCCCCTTATTCACTGTATTGACATTAACCTGTCATCCCACCTCTAATTCAGTGTATGAGGTATGCACCATCTAATTTTATACATTTTTATCCTTTACAATATTGTTCCATGTGGTTCTTCTCCATTACCCTTAATACTTTCAAATGGAAAGCTTATTAAAGATAGCTGTGGCTCTTCACTGATGATTGTAGTCTCTTGTTCAAAAGCAATATTTTAAAAATTACTTTACATTTAATATGTAAAGCTTTTGTTACCCTGATGGTAAATTGTAGGTACTGGGACAGGAATTGTTTGCCTTATTTGGCTAATTTTCTCCATTCTTAAAAAAAGAGAAGCTATTAGCTGTAAGAGATACAACAAAAAGATTGCTCAAACACAAAAGCACAGATGCTAGACAAGTGATGTGAGGTGGAAAAATTTCTGAAGTTTTCTGGTGCTTTATTTTTCTGTGAATATTCTTAATTTTATAGATTCATTAGTAACAATGAATGGGTGCCACTTTCTATTTTTTAAAGCTATATCTATACTTACGAAATACAACTAAAAACAAGCATGCCAAATTAAGTTACTCTAGTAAATTTTCTATTGCAAACTGAATCCCCCTCCCCCCAAAATAAATTAATTCCAATTGATTTCCCTCCCCCAGAAAAATCCATATTAGTGAGCTAGACATATGTAGATTCTAAAATTAAACACAGCTTGAAATTCACTATATAAAGTGAAGCAATATTTTTCCTATTATTGTCTGACCATTACAAAGATTCCAGAATAGATAGAAAAGTAGATATATTAAATATGCCTGAGTATGAGGAACATGAGTTAGACAGTCACCTAACTGCAACTGTACTTCTTACTTCTTCTGCATTTAGAACACTTCCTGCACATTTGAAATAAAATCCCTAGAAATAATGAAGAGGCAGTGCAGAGAGAAGAGTAAAAATTCAACTCCGGACTCTTCTCTATCATAAGCAAATGAGAGCCATCTTCACTGACATTAGTATATCATGCCACACTTTCTTAACAGCCTTCTCATGATTCTTTTTCAATATGACATCGAACCTACTTTCAGATTCCAAGGGGCAAGGAAAGAAAACACTCACCTCCCATTGGGTGGAGGCTGCCCAGTGTGTTCAGATTTCCAGAGGAGGCAGCTGCTGTCTGCTGAAGGAGCTGTAAATAAAGCTAGACATTACACCAAAAACAGAACAAGAGTGAGAATGAGGGCTGGCTCCACTGCTGGGAGACACTGCACTACACCACAGCCAGAGCGCCGTCCTAAGTGGAATAGCCACTGTTCAAACAGACCATATCAAGCGGCACACAAAGCAATAGCATTCCCAAATACCATTAAAAGGGTGAAATCTCACTGCCCACACAACTGCATGCAAAATGTTCTCTCTCAATTCATGGCTAGTGTGCCACTGATTGTGTAATTGCAAAAATACCTCACACCACAGAAAACACTACGCACATACTAAACACAGAAAATAACACAGATCCTTTCTGTATTTATGCCAAATGAAAACCTTTAGAAGGCCAGTACTTCAGTCCTCATGAAACAGTGACAGATCCCTCCTCACCAACCTGAGCACATGAATGCTGTTAAATGGTAGCAACTTAATTACCTACACTCAGCAACTTGCCCATGAAACACAGTGTTTTGCAACAGAACAGAAACACAGAGTTTTGCAACAGAAATTATTGTGGATAAACCGAATGATTTTGCACAGAAACTGCCAGGGAAACTCACTGCTAAGTACTGGGGTCCAAGGGTGTTCAGTCCAGCCAGGTTTCCCCAAACTGATGCAGCACTGATTTGTTGCATCTGCTGCTGGAGCTGCTGTGCAATTCGTTTCTGTTCTTTATCCTTTTGGGTATCTGCAAATTTTACTACGATGGGAGAAGAGCATCCCTGCAATATCAATTCACATAATTATACTTTATACATTACCTCCAAATGCCACAAATAACTCTGATCATTTAGAAAAATACACCAATCTTATTAAAGCAATCTCCTAGCTTCCCGAGTTCTAGCCCAGTTTTCCCATGTTTTAAAGTTAATGTATCTTATCTAATCTATCATAAAATTGGGGATATGTGTGGGCGTGCCAGTAGCTGGGGTTCAAACCAAGAAACAATACCGTAACACTTTGAAAACTTCAGAGTTACAGAACCTTCTGCTCTTTCCAACCGTTAAGGCCCGTGTATGCTCAATGCAAACTATCCCAGTTACTCTAAAAAACGTTTCTTACCTCCATGGTCTGTGCTTGGTGCATTGCTTTGATTGCTGTTTGTGCCATAGCTCTTGTTGTAAAAGTCACAAAAGCACAACCTGGGAAGATAATAGGATCAAATTCACTTGCTAAGTTTACACAAAACTTTTACAAAAAAAGCGGAGGTGGACATTCTGCTGACTTCAAAGATTTAAAATGCTTTCCAGTAAGATACTTTGGGTGTGAGAGATCTGCAAAACGATCAACAGTTTCATACCAGCTCCCCATGCTTACCTCGACTTAGGCCATCAGGACCCCGTAGAATTCTGCATTCTTCAATCTGCCCAAAGGAGGAAAACATCATTCTGATATCATTTTCATTGCACTTCTTTGATATCATCCCAATGAACAGTTTCCTGTCTTCCACAGCTAAGAGAAGAACAAAAAGGGAAGTCACTTATCTGCCCTGACTAAAGAAGTAAGTAAAATTATATAATTAGATTTCTTCACAGTTTATCTACAAACACACCGCATGAACCCAAATTTTTCTCCATCTGGTCCCCCAGGCCCTTGAAGCAGATTTTGAGGGGGCAGGGGGGCTGTAAGGGAGAGGAAGTGAAGTTCTGTTCTGTAGTGTAACTCCACTAGCAGAACAGGAGCACTGGATACCGTCACTTAGATTAAGAATTGATTAAATAGAGAGATCTTCTCATTGTACATTGCTATTTGGCATATTTTTGTTGGCAATATTAATAAGCTGTTCCAGTACACAAAAATGTAAAACCATATTTAAAATGTAAACTACGAATTTAAACCATGAACAACTTGTTTGTTCTTGAACAAGCTGATAGACAAATGAGCACACATTTGTATTTTATATAATTACATAATTTGTAACAAAGAATGTATTACACATCAATAAACCACAGAAAATGAAAAGCTTAAGTAGTCTACAGTGCAAAAAACACTGACCAGCTTTTATCACTAAGAAATTGATCATCCTCTTAACATAAATAGAAGACAGTGATTTCTCCTTTAACATAGGTGGATTTTACAAAGTAATTTCCAGTATGAAACAAGTTTGCAAGCCTGAATACAATGCTCCATTAAAAAAATAAATCTTTGCATACTGTAATAGACTATAATCTTTTAGAACAGAAGGGTTTATAGTAAGAGAAGAGAAAGTTGTGTATATAGAGCAGCCTTGTAATTCTAGATGCAGAACTATATGCCAGAGATTATCTTCATTCAGTAGGCAGCAAAGGTAACAAAATCGTTCTGAGAAAGCAAATATATTGCTTTCCCCCTTTTCTTTTAGGATCACAATGAAGCCTTTGCAATGATTATGTTTTATAGAACTTGAAGCTGAACCTGTAGAATTATTATTAGCATTTCCTCAACCAAGGGAGTGGGATCAGCTTCTTTCACTTCTTAAGTGCAAAGCAAAAGGCAATGCACAAAGGCAGTAGTAGTATGGGATGCTTTAGTAACTTGGATGCTGTTTTCTAAGTCAAAATCAATGAACTTTCCATATAACAGACTTATTAATCTGAAAAAAGCCTGTTTTACATACACTTACCATTATTCTTTTCACTGTCGGCTGGCTTCATTTGGATGGGATGGTGCATCTGTAACAAAGATAAAGCAATTAGGATTGGGAGTGGTGCAGAGGTGGAAATCAAGTTTTGGGGAGTAAATCACCTCCAGCCACAACTATACATTCCTTTCAAAGCTGTTGTAACCAGGGAACTTAGAAATCCATTTTTACAGAGACTAATTCAGAGGACAGAGAAGACAGTACAGGCGTCTCCCCACTTCTGCACAATCAACTCACACGAAGTGCTGGGAAATAATTCAGTAATTCAATTCAAACCCGGAAATGGCGGGAGAGAGCAGGAGAGTCCTCGTGGAGACCCACCCTGAATCCTGAAGAGGATGTCAATGAGGACAGAGGAAGCACCTGAAGAGACCTGAAATGCAGCAGGACTTTGTTTATGCTTCTCAGCCTTCCCACCTAACAGCTGATGTGCAGGATAGCTCAACAGCAGCTGCCCCTTTCCCGTATGTCCTCCTGCCAGCCCCAGGGATTCAATTCTAGCTGTGGATACATTATTTTTGGTACCGATTGAAGAGAGAGCAGCAGAGAAGGTGTTCAAAGGGCGTTGAGAGAGTACTCCCAACTACAATTAAGTACTTAATTCGTTCCGGAGGTCCGTTCTTAACTTGAAACTATTCTTAACCTGAAGCACCACTTTAGCTAATGGGGCCTCCTGCTGCCGCCGCGCCTTCGGAGCACGATTTCTGTTCTCATCCTGAAGCAAAGCTCTTAACCCGAGGTACTATCTCTGGGTTAGCCGAGTCTGTAACCTGAAGCATATGTAACCCGAGGTACCACTGTATGTGTTTTTTCACTTGTGCACATGGGGGCCCAGAATGTAACATGTAGGTGAGGAGTTGCCTGTATTTATATTAGTCAAGCCAAGGGGCTCCACATACCCCATCCCAGAAAAGATGGCATCCTGAGTGTGGATTCATGCAGAAATATTGAAAGAGCAGATTAAATAGATGATGCCTATTGTCTTACCCCTGGGAGAATCTTCATGTTATGAAGAGCATTCTGTGCTTCTAGTGCAGCTTTACGGGTATAAAATGTAACAAAACAGCATCCTGTAATGCAAACAAGTTACATGATGCATAACATATAAAAATAATCCATTCCAGCATAAATTATTTGATAGCAGAATGCATTAAGTCAAAAGCTGCCACTAACTGAATTCTGAATATTTTAAGGGTAAGATTCATATCAAAATTAATGTTTCTAATGCCTTCACTATTTAACATACTTCAGCCCCAATTATATAAGTGACTTACGTATTCACAAGGCCCAAGGCTGGAGGTATGCAGAACTTGAACTAACAAGAAATCAACTATTCCTCATTTGAATGATGTTGTTGTTTAGTCGTGTCCGACTCTTCGTGACTCCATGGACCAGAGCACGCCAGGCACTCCTGTCTTCCATGGCCTCCCGCAGTTTGGTTAAACTCATGCTGGTAGCTTCAAGAACACTGTCCAGCCATCTCGTCCTCTGTCGTCCCCTTCTCCTTGTGCCCTCTATCTTTCCCAACATCAGGGTCTTTTCCAGGGAGTCTTCTCTTCTCATGAGGTGGCCAAAGTATTGGAGCCTCAGCTTCATGATCTGTCCTTCCAGTGAGCACTCAGGGCTGATTTCCTTAAGAATGGATAGGTTTGATCTTCTTGCAGTCCATGGGACTCTCAAGAGTCTCCTCCAGCACCATAATTCAAAGCATCAATTCTTCGGCGATCAGCCTTCTTTATGGTCCAGCTCTCACTTCCATACATCACTACTGGGAAAACCATAGCTTTAACTATACGGACCTTTGTTGGCAAGGTGATGCCTCTGCTTTTTAAGATACAGGGTCCCGAATACAATAGTATCTTTTCCCAACTTGCAGGGAGCTTTTTTTTAGTGAGAGAGCAAAAAAAATGTCCCCTTTATCTGCATCTTGAAGCAACGTCCTTCACTATGGACATTTGGATTTTGAGGTCTCATTCCACTGCATGACTCTTTAGTTTTCAGAATTCACAATACAGCAGATAAAACCCCTTTTTTTACTATTGCAAGTTAACTGCTGATGGTTGCACCTTATTCTCACCTCATCAGATGCTTATTAGTAACACTAAGAGTAAACCTTTTCCTACAGTCTTACCTCCTGGCCCGGTCAATAGTTCAAGGCAGAAGTAGATGGGGGGGGGGGTCAGGAGCTTACACCTTTTGTGGCAACTTCCTGAAACTCTTGAGAGCCTTGTTTCACACTTTGAGACTGAGTTGCACAGGTCAAAAGACAGATCAATCTTGTAGAAAATGTTTCAATGGACATCAAGTGGACACTCCTTGCTTCTGAATCTTATCAGTAAGACACCCAAATGGAATAACATTATGTGAATTATGCCCCCCAACTTAGGGCTACTTCACACATTTATGCTTTTTCAGGAGAAAACCTATAAAATAAGCAAACTATGCAGGTACAGCTCAACGATAAAACTGTCAACATGTAGTGACATGCCCAAGTTTGCATCTGCATGTGAAGAACAACAGACATTTAAACTAACCTTCCTACTATCTGCTTTTCTTGCTACCAAAGCAAATGCAGTAACATGAAGATCATGCATGCATCGTGATATCAAAACAACACAAAGACATGCTTTCTCAGAGTAATAAGTGTCAAGAAGACGCATAATGATCTTGGACCATAACCTCCAGTAAAAAGAAAAGAGAGGGCTCTCACCTTTGCTCTGAGGAGGATTTTGGCTCCTGTCCCGCAGGACATTTATTTCATAGACAGCACCATACTGTTCAAACAGATCTCGCAGATCTTTTTCAGACCAACTCCGTGGGACCTGGCCCACAAACATCTTGATGGCATCAATGTCCGGTTGGTCAGGATGGTCTAGTGTGCCATTCATTTTCTTTGAGCTGCATGAGTCAATGACAAACATATGGTAAGGGTCCTCCTAGACTCTGTCCCAACCAACCCTTCTTCAAATGTATTAGAAAGATAATAATTAAAACTCAAAGTGTTGCTTATCTGAGATATTCAGAGAACATATTCTGTCCACTGAAAACCAGGCACGTGGTGGGAAGAGAGAAGAGAGAAGAGACACTTCTCCAAAGACTTGATTGCCTTCAGATGTCTCAGACGAATTTGCCGTTTTCTCCCCCAGAAACATTAGCATCTTAGAAATAGAATGTATTATAGTCTTGTATAAAGGGTAAACAATGGTTTATTGAAAAAGGAAAACTGAGCTAAAAGTTGGTGTACTTAAAACTAATGAATTTAGTAGTAAGCATAAAGATGAAAAAATATCACCAATCCCTCTAACAGCAAACTAAAGTGCTGAGTGTCAACAAAAATGGGAGCCAAAACAGGGCCAGTGAGAAACAAAAGGGAGGTGTCAACCTGCATGGGAGAACCCAATGTTTGCAGACATATAGAACTTTAAAAAAACCCATTTAAAAACCATAAAAATAAAATTCCTGAATGGGAATCCTAAAAATAGACCAATGGTTTGGTTTGGGTATAATACTCTGCATGGAAGAAAAGACCAGCTGAAACTCTGAAAAGCACTCATATTCAGAAGTGACGACACACTGCAACATTTTCGTGCAGGTGCCACATGTCTATACTAATACCAAACTCAGCATCATCCTTGATAGGTCACTTAGGATCACTGAGTTTACTATTTGCACAAACTTGAACTGTGTCTGTATACTTTGGCAATTCAATGGACTGAGCAGACATCCAGGAGCAATGACATGTGAAGATCAATTCAGTGTCAGTTAGAGAAAAAAGGAAGATGGGGAACAGATACGCCCCTATGGCAGAGGTGGGGAGCTGGGAAGAGGTTTGTGCAGCCAAGGCTCACCCATCAGCTGCTGGGCAAAGGTTAAGACCCTTTGTTCTTTGAAGAGAGGCAGAGAGCGGCTTGGCCAACTGCTCTCTGAAGCACCTCCACCCTCATTTTCACACTGCTCCAGCAAGGGTTCTCCACCTGTCCGTCATGTGATGTCATCTAATGAGTTGATATTAAATCCTGTTGCCTCAGCAGCGTGATTTGTTCCCTGCAGACACTAGAGTGGCACAGCCAATGCAGGATAAAATCCTGTCCTCCTGCTTATCAACTGATGTTGATAAGATGGGCGGGCAGGCATGGTTTTGGGGAAACGGCCTCATGAGCCAAACTGGACCAGCAGCAAGCCAAACTTAGCCTGCTAAGCAGAAGTTACCCACCCCTGCACTATGAGGTGCACATTCAAACTTGTTTCACCTTTCAAGCTTAAAGGCAGCATATTTTGGGAGGATGAGAAGAAAACAGGAACATCCATTCACTGCACTGCACCACTCAGATATGTGGCTAGATGAGCAGCTTCCTTCCTGCTCCCCTAGCCCCAAACCTCAGTAGTCAGCACTTTAGGGTAATTGTGCTACAATGGTAGATTGCTGAGTTTCAGGTTTAAATGAGCAGGGCATTGTACAAAGGAATTTGAATTTCCCATTTGATCATTCCACTTATAGGCATTCAATGTCTTCCTATTTAAACCAGTATTTCATAATCCACAGACACTGTGACATATTTTTTTCAAAACTGAACAAGAAGAAAAATAGCAACCTTGCTTTAATATCAGAAGGCACACAGATTCAACCTAGTAATTAACTGTCATCATCAAAACATTTAATACTTACATTAATTATAAAAACAAATTGTTATTGTAAAACATTGGATTTTTAATAATAATAATGAATTATTATAACTTTTAACCATGTCAAGTATGATTTCTACTGACTGAAATAATTCACTGAACAATTTTTGTCTTTTGACTTTTACCATAGAATGCCAGGGCCAGTGTACAGTTGCAAAATTTAAAATAACAAAACCCACAGTGGTGTTCTTAGCTTTACTGGATCAAAGTCAAACAACAGTCAGTCAACTGACTGTTTGTCAATCCTATTGATAATCTGTGAATTTGAGACAAAGAAGAAGCACTATTCAGAATACTGGATCAGACTGTAAATAATATATTTACTGAGACTTCCAGGTTCTTCCATTCTGTGGAATTTTGTATGAACATACTGATTGCCCCTACTAGATGTTGCTTCCACCATGGACTTATTGTTTAGGCAGTTGAGTTTCAGATCTCAGTATCAAAGAATTAGGCATCTGGACCACAGACCACCAAAAAACTGCCAAAGCTTTCCTTTGCCTATGTGGTTTCTCTAGATAAGGACTAGGGAATCTGCAACTCTCCAGCTGTTGCTGAACTACATCTCCCAAAATCCCTGACCACTAGCCATGCTGGCTGGTGCTGATAGAGTTCAATGACATCTGAAGAAACACAGATTTTCATCCCTGCTTTACAGTCTAGCTACAGGGAGGAAAAAGGAGAATAAGGTTGTGGTGAAGGGACAGGAGGTAGACTTGTATTAACATCATGCTGCCCAAAGGCATACACTGTTCAATCCAACTTCATACAACATACACAGGGCTAATATTGCAGAATCTGAAAGTCATGCTGCAACAGCAAGGGAGTAACTTTTTGTACAGAATTAACTTCAGTGGGGTTTTTTTTGTCACTTTCCTTCTTGTGAACCACGTTAAGTGCCATTATTTTCAAGTGATTATTATCAGGGGATGGCTGACCCATTTATTCATAAACTCTATAAAAATGTTTTTAGTTTTCTCCAATACTGAAAGTTAAGAATTGCCTCCAGGCAACCAGACAGCAAGACTTTACAAAGTGAAAAGCATTTATGTTTCTTTCAAGCTGCTGCTCTTATAGGTTATGTTGATTTATTTTTTCCACAGCAAAGTTTTATAAAGAGATTTGGGTGGTTTTGTTCTTTTTCTTATTTTATATAGGTAACTTATTTTTAACCCCTTTCCTATCAAAAATGGTATGATTTTGGTGTTTTATTCTGCTTTTAAAGGGTTTGTGACTGTATGTTGTTTTTTTAAAAAAATTAAATAATCAGGTACAAGTCCATAAAACATACTAGCAGTAAAAAAGGATTTATTCTGAAATAAATCCTTTTTTACTGCTAGTATGTTTTATGGACTTGTATGCTACTCTGCTGTAGATATTGTTGTATGAAAGTATCAGTAAGTGTGGATATGCTTCATTTAACTCGATCTGTGACTCCTCAGGGGACCCACACCTTTAAAAGATTTTTTAAGAAAGGGAGAGAGAGGGAGAGAGAGAGAGATAGAAAAGAATAAAACCAAATTTGGATTGGGTGTGCAACACGCATTGCCTGTTTGTGGACTGCCTTCAATCCCACTTCTAGGACACGCTCCGAAAACTGGATCTGTGTGATCTCACTGCTACCTCAAATGGTTACCCACCATTCCACACCTAAGAGAACAGTAAGATTATGTAGAATCAAGAAATATCAGAACAAGGCAGGCTAGTTATTTTTCAAATGAATAAAACTGGATTTTTAATTATGTCTACTTTACATAATTACTCTAAGATGGCATCTTATAGTGCAGTGTTTCCCAACCTTGGGCCTCCAGCTGTTTTTGAACTACAATTCCCATCATCCCTGACCACTGGTCTTGCTAGCTAGGGATGATGGGAGTTGTAGTCCAAAAACAGCTGGAGGCCCAAGGTTGGGAAACACTGTTATAGTGATCCAATATGCCAAACTCTGAATAATTAAAAACATTTTGAAAATGAATCTTGGAAAACTGAACTTGTTTTCCTCACATTAATCCTTGAACTAAAGGAACTAAGGATTTGAAGTAAAAAGTTTTGAAGTATTCAACCACCAAATAGTTATTTTTTTATGTTACAGGTCCAATTTTCTTTAAAATGCATTTCAAATTCCTATCTTTCAAGAAAATTAAAACCGCAATAGGATGTAATAGAGCAATTTATGCAGTTGGCCTAGAAGTGTGAAATTCAGTTGTGAGGGACAAGCAAATGTGAATTATCTTTACTGATTATCAAAAAACCAAGGAAGGCTTCTTCAACAGGGCTTTGAAGCCTAAGAGATAATATTATTACTCTTTCAATATTTTATCTCATTGCTGTGCTTCCCAATATTATATTTACAATGAGTTTGTTTTAGGTGCTATTAATTTCTTATTTGTATTTTTAATGTTAGAAATTGCAATAAGCTTCCCAGCATTTTTCTACAGGAAAATATTTGATTTTTTTAAAAATAATAATCTGAAGCCGTAAACTCAATTGAGAGAAAATAACTTGCCTTTTTATTCTTAATAAAAAAGAGAGGGGCTAAGTTCTAGAAGTCATATCTAAACGATTAATAAAATCAACAGCCCTTATTTTCACATATTGCTTGTGATACATGAAAGTACTGAAAGTGCAGCTGATACAGATAGCTGATTCTTAAAAGGCCTATGCATCAGGATTTCTGGCATCCATAAATTAACAAGTGTAGTCAGTTGTGCAAAACTGACTGGATTACAGACTCCTAGGGTTGTATCCAATGCAGGTACTACTAAGAGTTACGAATGAAACATAAACCAAAGTTATCAATAAACATAACTAATTTAGGTTCACTAATTTCAATGGGTCTACTCCAAGTATAATTAATTGGATACAACCCCCAAACAACATGTTTGGATCTAGGTATAAGCCGGTGTGTCTCCTGCCCTTTTGTAACCAAGTCCAAATACATGTTACTGAAATAATACTATTTCCCCCCATGTACTCAGACTCCAATGAATATACTACATCATCACCTAGTGTTGAATTATGAGTGTTTGTAAGTTCCCTATGTAGAGTTTGTTCTGTTGTACTCTGAAACACAATGCACACACATGGTGCAACCAACCATGCTAGTTGCTTTCTACTATGTATGTTAAATTGCTATCCCAGAGCAAAGTTAGATATCGAAGGGGCCAGAAGTAGCCCCAATGCAATTGTAATAGGGATCCTTTGGGATTAAAACACACATTTGGGATCTTTCTGCATTAAAATCAAGAAAATAGATGTCCCACACTTACCTGAAAACAGTTTATTCCAATGAAGCTAATACCACGACCATTAAATGCCTCTGAATGATGCTTTGATAGCTACATGCATCCATACCATATAATTTTGATCAGTAAACTTTACTATTGTGTTTGAAGTATATTAAGGTGTCTGCACATACAAGGAGCAGAAAATTAACTTAATGTGTAAAACTGCAAATCTAACATGCTAAAAAAGTACAATAGTTACAAATCAAGCTATGAAATTTCACAAGAATGTATTTGGCATTCCCTCCTGAACTGCAAGGATGTGCCACATATAGTGCAGAATTTAATTTATTTGTATCTTAAGGGCTATGTGAACCATAAAGTGTATTTCTCTAAAATTAACTCACCCTGGAACATAATCCTATGCTGGGTACAAACTTAACATACTGTCCCCAATTGAGTTCTTGTTCATCTTGTATCAACTCCAAGCATTTTTTAGGCTCTCTTCCATAAATTAACTCTAGGGTCTTATATGCCTCTTTTGGTTCTTCCCTTAATACAGAACAATAATAAAATTCCCCACCAATTACCTTCAAAAGAACAAATTGAAAGCAATCAGCATTAATGTAGATTAGCTATGAAAACAAAATACTCACATAGGGCTGGCATTCAAGGAGCAATGATCCACCATCATTTCTGGGAGGAAATCCAACTTAAAAGCAGCCATCACTTCTCTGCTTACCACAAACCACTAATGCTAGATCACTGTCCTGTCGAACCAATTGAACACCACCACTTAATTTCTGAGAGTCTTAACACAGTGATCCACACAAAATAACACTCAAACCACAAGAACACAAGCTTGGGGAGACCAGCAACAGACACCACAAAAACAGGCTGGACTGGGAAAGAAACATGAGGACCAGGATTAAAAAGGGGATGTGACCATGTGAAGAGAGACTCAGCTCAGTACACAATGAAAATGCTGATGCACTGGGCTTGTTTTGTGCAATTTTCCCTGGCAAAGCAGTACTGAGTGCACTGTCAGATAAACAGAGTGTCAGATCCATGAAGATAGTTGTGTGCAACAGAGCAGAAAAGAACACAAACTAGCTTCATAGCTTCCAATCAAACTCACTACCACAAAAGTATGAGCCCTTAAATATTTCTTTAGGTAGAATATTCTTAAACCAAGCATCATTACACTGCTTTCCTGGTTTGAGGTCAACTAATCACATTTTATGAGATGGTGGAAGCTTATTAAATCCTGGCTCAACATATATATAACCAGGCTCAACATGCTTGCTATGTGGGGCTGGGCAAGATTTCTAATTCCTTCAATAGAACAACATTTCACTTCAGCCTTGAGTATTGCATATAGAACAGGGAGAAATCCCAATTGAACCTATTGGTAAACTTCCCAATTTCACTTGGAAAACAAGGTGAAATTTAGAGACTCCTGGCCAAAGAAGTCATTTCTTAATATGCTAGCTACAAGATATGAAAAAAATCATCGATAGCATTTTTCACTGCAATACACAATTCAGTCTGAAATTCTCACAGTGTTAAACTCTCAAGCTCTGGCATTAAGTTGAAGTCCTTTCTCCTTTTCCAAAATTGCTTTCCCACACATTAGTTAAAACCTTCTTCAGACGCACGTTTTACCAAACTGACACAGAGTTCTAAAAAAAAGGTGGGTAAATTATGCATATTAACTTTCCTACACCTACCATGGAGTGTCTTCTTTCATATGAAGTTCGGGTTCCTTGGTGCCTTCAAGGCTAATTCTGAACTACCGTAGAAATCAACTCTGATACCTGTTGAATGTACCAATCTCCATTTAGTTAGCTTGCTTATTTCCTGGCTAGTCTCTATTACTTCTATTGTTCTTACTTGTAAACCAGGTCAGAAGCTAAGTGCCTGGTAATATGATGGCTTATATTTACTGCTTCAACAACCACTTCTGGAGAATGACTGTCATGTTAAAGACAGTTGCGTGCTCATTGTCCTAAAGCTGTAGTACTCAAACTTACTAGCTATACATAGATGATTAACCGCTTATGGATTTCTTTGAAGTATGAGTCAGTATAATTTACCTCAATAAAAATAACTGAAGATGGGAACACAGAGAACCAAAATGATTAGGAGGTTGAAGCATCTCCCCTGTGAGGAAAGATTAGGCTTGGGGCTTTTTGCTTTAAAAAATGACAATAAGGGGGGCATGATGGAGGTGTGCAAAGTTAAAGTGTGTAGAGAAAATGGAAATAGATCTCCTTCCTCTCAGAATCCAGTCACCTAATGAAACTGAATGGTGGGATATTCTGGGCAGATAAAATCACTTTTTTCTACAGCAGAATTCACTTGTACAAGTTGAAGAAGTGATGACCACCAACTCTGATGACTCTAAAAGGAGATTAGATAAATTCATGGACGATAAGGCTATCAATCACTATTGTTCAAAATAACTATATTATCTCCACTATCAGAGGCAATATGCCTCTGAATATCAGTTGCTGGGAAACACAAGTAGGAAGTGCTGTTATGTGTCATGTTCTGCCTGAGTGTTTTTCACAGACGTCTGGTTGGTTGCTGTGAGAACAGAAAGTTGGATTAGATGGGCTTTTGGTCTGATCCAGCTAGTCTCTTATGTTGTTATGATTATGTAACCCAACTTCTTTAAATCTTTCCCCCCATCACACTCAATACTCCTCTCTTTTGAGGCGTGTAAATGAGCAATTGAGGTTAAAGACAGAGGATTCTAAACTCAAGAGGGGGGAAGCAGAAGGATGAATTGGTTGTGCTTCTGCCATTACATGCAAAATGGGGGATGAGTATATTTAACTGCAGCAAAAGCAGTAAATAAGAGTCCCACTTTGCATGTTACAATAGAAAACAAGTGTGCTTCTCTGTGATATATGAGCCATCTCTCTGAGACCAAAACCTATAGATCCAGTGAACTGACCTCTCATAACAGAACCAAAGTCACTTTCCTGACACTGGTTCATGGTAGTCTACAACTTTAGTTTACAAACTACTCTAGACATCCTTTAAGCCACAGTAGCTCTGCTGCTTATTAAATTTACTTAACTAAAGGGGGAGGGAATGCAACACTCAGTCCAATATCCTTGGCAGCGTAGAAACATGTCTGTCCACAAGAGATAATGGCTTGTTTATGTACAAAAACTAAAGAAGATGGCAACCTGCAATTCAACCAAGTGGGTATGGCTCCATGTGGCAGGTTGTTCGTGTTAACAGTCCCCCATGAGGTTTGGGCAATGCTAAAGAAATCATTCTTTCATGCTTTTATAATACACAGCAAGAATGGTCAACTGATAGCTCATGGATCACATCCTGCATTTGCAGCAATTTTATCAAGCCCCCAGTGATTTCACACATACTTAAATGGGCAATAAAATAGCAACTGAGTAGCAAAGGGATATTCATTACAGCAAAAAATCCTAACTTCACACATACAATGAGGTGTGTCTAAACTAGCTGTAATTCAGGGCTGTCTTTACCCAGGGGTGCAAGGCACCGAATTCTGGGGAGCGCCAAATGCATACCAACTGTATACCGGTCCCTCTCGATCGGTGGCACCGAAAAGCAATGGAGCAAAAGTTCCTGCCCCCCCATAGTGTCAAATATTCCCGACGAGTCAGGAAACAAAAGCAGTTATTTCCTACCCAACTTTGGCTCCCCCCTCCCAAAAAAGCTCAACAACTTTGAGTTCGTCCCCCCCTAAAAAAATTGGGGGAGCTGGGCGGATTTTTGCACCCCGGCGGTGCATATGCTAAAGACAGCCCTGCTGTAATTACTCAAATAATGTAGACAGGGGACCTTAACTTGTGACCTCCACATGTTGATGGACTTCATACTCCCATCAATCCTAGCCAGCACGGTCAATGGTCAGCAATTATAGATCGACTCCACCTAAATCACTGTGTATGCAACTTCTGTGAGCACAATGGAACTCCCTCTCCCCTTCCCCCCCCTACACTGACACCAAATCTGCTCTGAGGCTTGGGGGAAACCCCAGATCAGACTGGGGCTTCATACCAGAGAGAAGAGGGAATGGAAGTTCCTTTGCACCTGCAGAAGTTGTTTGACATGCAAAATGATTTGGCTGCATACAAGCCCTATGTAAGTTGTAGCCTTACAAAATCTGGACGGCCACAGATTAGCCATCTCAGTATAGAAAATGTGAGCTGACCAATGATGTCCACCCACTTGCACAACAGAAATCTGCTTATGCCCCCGGAAACCTCCCAAAAAACCAATCTGTTCTGGGGAGTTCCCCTAGAACTCAGGGTCAGGTTATGTCACCAATGGAAAAAGCAGCATACCACACAATGGATCAACAACTTATAGAATTCATTACAACGTAGTGATGGTCAATAGCCTAGATTGTTTTTTTAAATAATTTAAAATTAACAGAATTCAGCCATGATAGCTAAGCAGCTTTTTCATAGACAGAGGAAACATACCTCAAGATGCCAGAGACTATAAGATTAATAATACAAGAAGGCTGCTTGCAATCTTCCTAGGACTCAATTGGTTTCATAGAATCATGGAGTTGGAAGGTATCCCAAGGGTCATCTAGTCCAGCTCCCTGGGATCATCCATGACAGACAGCCATCCAAACTCTGCTTAAAAACCTCCAAAGGAGTCAGTTCCACTGTCAAACAGCTCTTATCATCAGAAAGTTCTTCCTAATGCTTAGTTGGAATCTTGTAATTTGAATCCAATCGCTCAGTTCCTACCCTCTGGAATAGCAGGGAAAAAAGCTTGTTCCATCTTCCCTGTTTCTCCTTCCTGGAAACTGAATGATGGACTAGACTAGATGGTGATCTAGCAGGGCAGTGCCTATGGCTGGAAAGTGGGTCACTCACTTATGAAATTTACTGGGACAAGGAGCTCACATCTCTCAGGACAACTAGCGAAGCTAGAACACTAAGGTCCTCAGATGGAATACAACTGTAATGTAGATAACTGTATCAGTGCAATACTAATTGATAAGTAAATCCCATTGATCTCAAAGGAAACTTACTTCCAGGCAAGTGTGTATGGTATAACATAAGACTGCCAGTCACGTAGTAGACTGGCCACACCCAAACAGGACATCTTTATTTGACCTAGTTAAAATTCTCTACAGTGGCACCTCCGGTTATGGACGGGATCTGTTCGGGACATGTGGCAAAACCCTGGAAATATACTTCCGAGTTTGCCGCTTACGTATCCTGAATTTTAGGTAAGCGAAGGTATGACTGTATTGTTTAAGGGAGATAAAACATTTCAAACTGGGTAAGTAGAAGGCAAATATTTAGAATCATAGAGTTGGAATAGACCACAAGGGCCATTGAGTCCAACCCCCTGCCAAGCAGGAAACACCATCAGAGCACTCCTGACATATGGTTGTCAAGCTTCTGCTTAAAGACCTCCAAAGAAGGAGACTCCACCACACTCCTTGGCAGCAAATTCCACTGTCGAACAGCTCTTACTGTCAGGAAGTTCTTCCTAATGTTTAGGTGGAATCTTCTTTCTTGTAGTTTGGATCCATTGCTCCGTGTCCGCTTCTCTGGAGCAGCAGAAAACAACCTTTCTCCCTCCTCTATATGACATCCTTTTATATATTTGAACATGGCTATCTTCATACATACCTTCAACCAGATGCACTGGGTATGGAGAGTGTTGAAAGTAAGTTATGATGTTGTTAAGTTTCATGGTTGTGAATGCTTGCATGTTTGTGTGCAAATATTCATGTTATGATTTGTATATAAACAGCTTTTGGTCTGAAGGCCCCAGATGTGATGAACAGCATATTAATTCAAAAAAAGTATAAAAGTACTGTGCAGTCATACCTTGGAAGTCAAACGGAATTCATTGTGGAAGTCTGACTTCCAAAACGTTCGAAAACCAAAGCATGGCTTCTGATTGGCTGCAGGAAGCTCCTACAGCCAATCGGAAGCCCTGCCGGACGTTCGGCTTCCAAAAATAGTTCACAAACCAGAACACTCACCTCCGGGGTTGTGGCATTCGGGAGCCAAATTGTTTGAGAACTAAGCTGTTCGAAAACCAAGGTACGACTGTAAATGCCAAACAATATAAGATCACAATATCAACAAATATCTCCAATCACACAGGTGCAATCTGCTCTCACAACAGACACAATTCCCCAGCATTGCATTTCTAACTTGGAAGCCAGTACATCCATATCCATCCCTCCTGCCTCGCTTGAATCTCTCACTTAGGGCTGTAGGAGCAAGCCCATCCACACCCAACTGCCTTCACCACACACCCAACCCAAAGGGGCAATCTCTTCTTTGGGGCCACCCCACTGAAGCTGATCTACAATGAACAGCAGCAATCAACTAAACAGAACTGTCTCCTGGACACCAGCTACAGCTATAACAAAGTTTTTATTTTTCATGGGCAAGGCTTACAGGCTAAACCTTCTGGCTCCTCCAAGAGGCTACTGTCTTCCAGTTAACATGTAACATAGGGGAAAAGATGTGAGGAAAGTAATCAGTGTGCATGTTTGTGAATGTTTATCTATCTATCTATCTATCTATCTATACACACACACACACACACACACACACACACACACACAGAAAGTGGGAAAAGAGCAGCCTTCCCCAACCTGGTGTCCCCCATATGTTCTGGACTACACCTCTTTAGCCTTGCTTTTGACAATTGATGTATATTTTAAGGACACATTTTGTGTAATTTTAAGTTGTTTTAAACTGTTTTTAATATTGTGGAAAATCGTGTATAGTGGTACCTCGGTTTATGAACTTAATCCGTTCCGGATTAAACC